CCCTGGGTAGTATAGCGACTGTCCGGTGTAGCGCTTTTTCCCTCGCAGTGAGGACGAGTTATTGGAGATCAGGAAAGAGCCTTCGCCTCGCTCGCGCATGGCGGGCAGTACCTCCTTGGCGACCAGGAAGGGGCCGCTGCTGGAGATGTGCTGTGCGGTCTCGAACATCTCGAAGGGATGTGCTCAAGCAGTTCTTTTTCCGGCGGCAGGTCGCGCCCTCAATGTAGCCTGCGTTGTAAACGAGGACATCCGGGTCGCCTGCCTGCTCCCGGATCTGGGCGAACGCATTGGATATGGAGTCTCGGTACGCAAGGTCAAGCTCGACGATGATGCTCTCGCCGCCTTGTTCCCCGATTGCTGCCTGCAGCGCGGTCGCGTTCGCGGCGTTTGCGAGTGGTCAGCACGGTGAGGAAGCCTTCTTGTGCAAATTTCTGGGCGATGGCTCCGCCTACGCCCCAGCGCACTCCGACGGGCAGATCACTGTCGTCGAGGTCTGTGCCGTGGATTAACCGAGTGTTGCGGCCGTCCGACTGCCATTTGGATGTCGCGCCAATGACGACTGCGACTTGTTTTCGCGTGGTGTTCATGTGGGGTTCCTTTCGGTGGGGGGTGGTTACTTAACGTCACTCTCGCGACTTTAGGTCGCAAGTGCTTATCACTCCTAGCAAAGTCAAGGCTCATGTGAAAAAAGTGAAAACAAGTGAGACGCTATTATTCCTCCCAAGGTATATCTCTATCCAGTACAAATTCCGCGTCATTCATTGTAAGGTCGTCCATCCTTTCCACCAGTGGTTGCAGACAATCCGAGAAGTACTGGTCAAGATGGTTCTGACGTATGAAGTCGATGGCGAATGTACCCTTGACGTTTTCCGACTGAATATCTCTTTTGAAAGTGATATAGTTCCTTTTCTCCGGGACTGGGTCAACAGTGGTCGAATCGACGAAAAAAATATCGCCACTGGTGACTAGGACGGGTACAATACACTCAAAATAAAAAAACAAAAAAAAACAATAAAAAAAAAAACAAACAAAAATAAAAAAAAAAACAAAAACTAAAAAAAAAAAATAAAAAAAAAAAAAAAACAAAAAAAAAAAAAAAAAAATAAAAAAAAAATAAAAAAAAAAAATAATAAAAAAAAAAAAAAAAAAAAAAAAAACAAAAAAAACAAAAACAAAAAAAAACAAAAAAAAGAAATAAAAAAAAAAACAAAAAAAAAAAAAAAAAAGCCATTCTCCTGGATAGGGACGCTTCAAAATCTCCCTTTTCCTCGCCATAAGAGCTTTCGCCATTGGGTAGAATATCGAATCGTACAGGCCGCCATGATTTGCTTGCCAATTCTTGCCCTTCCGATCAATGCGACAAAATTGCACCGCTTTCATCTCGGCATTAAAGTCATAATGTATTTGTTCAAAACCCAAATGGAAGAATGCATCCTTATCCCTCATCTGAGTGCGGTTCTCCAAAGTTTCTCCAATTTCTCTGTATTTCTCAATTGGAAAAACCATTCCCTCAGGAGCATACAAGTCATCTACTGTGCTTTTGGGCCGTCCTATAAAGGCTATTGGATTCGAATAGTTCTTGCATTCGCCAATTATCTCAAGGTACGCCGCTATCTTTTTCTCGTCATTGTAAGCCACCCTTCTGATCGCTCGCACGTCGATCTCGCGGGACTTTCCCTCATCGACGTCTTCAAAGGCCCAATTGGTCCACACATGAAAGTCTAGGGCTTGCAATTGTGTAGCAACCTGCTGTTCCATCAAATATCCAGATGCTCGTGCGGCGATATATACTTTAGGGGTGGAGAATTGTTCATTATGGGTTACCGACTTACTCCATGCCTGGCCAGAGAATAATCCCATAGCTGAGCCGACATATCATAAATGACGATGCTGTGAATACGATGCGTATTGCTTGGAAGTGGTGAGCTGAGGGGACTCGAACCCCTTACCTCCTGCTTGCAAAGCAGGCGCTCTCCCAGATGAGCTACAGCCCCACGAGGAACCGGGCGGGTGTCGTCGGCCGTCAGGTTGGCAAACGGCGCGGACAAAATAATAGGGCTGGTTACTGTTGAAACCGGCCCCACTTTGCGCTCTTGCAAGAGCACCTTAACCGCTGGATAGTGGAAGGGAACAAAAAGTTTAGCAAAAGTTTGTGTTTGCATCTAAATGTGCAGTAGGTTGTCTTAGGGAGGTGATCCGGGTTTTCGAGGAGTTCCTCTCAGTTGCCTGAGATCCGACTCTACTCTCTGTCCATTTCACCCCGTCTACTGACCGACCTAGGATGTTCCGTTCCCATTGGCCTGAACCGACAGGGAAGGAAGTCTCCCTAGAAAGGAGGTGATCCAGCCGCACCTTCCGGTACAGCTACCTTGTTACGACTTCGTCCCAGTCACCAGTCCCACCCTCGGCGCCTGCCTCCCTTGCGGTTAGCCCAGCGACTTCAAGTGTTACCGACTTCCATGACGTGACGGGCGGTGTGTACAAGGCCCGGGAACGTATTCACCGCAGTGTGCTGACCTGCGGTTACTAGCGACTCCGCGTTCATGCAGGCGAGTTGCAGCCTGCAATTCCAACTGGGGCCAGGTTTGTGGGATTAGCTCCGCTCGCGTCTTCGCGACCCTCTGTCCGACCATTGTAGCGTGTGTGTAGCCCAGGGCGTAAGAGCCATGCTGACTTGACGTCATCCCCACCTTCCTCCCCCTTTGTAGGGGCAGTCTCGCTAGACATTGTAACTAGCGACGAGGGTTGCGCTCGTTGCGGGACTTAACCCAACACCTCACGGCACGAGCTGACGACAGCCATGCAACATCTGTGCACTGTCCCGAAGGAAGGCCCCGCTTTCACGGGCTGTCAAGTGCATGTCAAGCCCTGGTAAGGTTCTTCGCTTATCATCGAATTAAACCACACGCTCCGCTGCTTGTGCGGGCCCCCGTCAATTCCTTTGAGTTTTAGCCTTGCGGCCGTACTCCCCAGGCGGGATACTTATCGCGTTAGCTCGGCACGGAGGGGGTCGATACCCCCCATACCTAGTATCCATCGTTTAGGGCGTGGACTACCCGGGTATCTAATCCGGTTTGCTCCCCACGCTTTCGCGCCTCAGCGTCAGGCACAGCCCAGAGAGCCGCCTTCGCCTCTGGTGTTCCTCCCGGTATCTACGCATTCCACCACTACTCCCGGGAATTCCGCTCTCCTCTGCTGCCCTCAAGCTGCCAGTTTCCCATGACCGCTCCCAGTTGAGCCGGGAGATTTCACATGAGACTTAACGGGCCGCCTACGCGCCCTTTACGCCCAGTAAATCCGGACAACGCTTGCCTCCTACGTATTACCGCGGCTGCTGGCACGTAGTTAGCCGAGGCTTATTCCTCGGGTACCGTCCTTCTCTTCCCCAGAAAAGGGGTTTACAACCCTAAGGCCTTCTTCCCCCACGCGGTGTCGCTGCGTCAGGCTTTCGCCCATTGCGCAAGATTCCCTGCTGCTGCCTCCCGTAGGAGTGGGGGCCGTGTCTCAGTCCCCCTCTGACCGATCGTGCTCTCACACCGGTTACCCGTCTTCGGCTTGGTGGGCCATTACCCCACCAACTACCTGATAGGCCGCAAGCTCCTCCCAGAGCGGTCGAAACCTTTCTTCATATAGCCTTGACCATATGAACGTACGGGGTATTAGACCGGATTTCTCCGGATTATCCCCCGCTCCGGGGCAGATCACTTACGTGTTACTCAGCCGTCTGCCACTAGCTCCGGGGCCGAAGCCCCTTTGCCCGTTCGACTTGCATGCATTAGGCGCACCGCCAGCGTTCGTCCTGAGCCAGGATCAAACTCTAAACGTTATGTGTGTTCTCTTCCACTATCCAGTTGTTAAGGTGCCTTTCCAATTGCGTAAAGAATAGATTACACCAGCAATTGCCCTCAGTCAAGGGATTTTGGCGTGGATTTCAGAAGTTTAGAGAAAAACCGCCTTTATGCCCTCTCTTGCGCCCTGAGCGGATTCAGGTTGTGCTCTCGGACCCGTGCTTATGCCTCCAGCTCAGCCAGTATGCCCCGCACGTAGTTCACGCTGCGTCTGTCCTTATAGAGTTGGTCGCCCGTGTTCGCGCCCTCGATGGCAAGGTAGCCGTCGTAGCCCGCCTCCACCATCGCGGATATTGCGAAGCGATAGTCTATATCGCCGTCGGGCAGTGGCACGCGGATGTAGTACGAGTGATCAATCTCTGGAATATTCACGCGGTTCAGGGCTTTGCAGTGCCAGTATTTGGAGTGCGCCGCCAGCGCGGATATGCACTGCTCCATCGTCTCTTCGGGCACATCGTAGTTCCACAACACATTGCCGAGGTCGGGGTTGGCATGCACGAAGGGGCTGTCGGCGAGTTCCAGCAGGTGCAGCGTTGACCAGCTATTGTCGGCGATGGAGTGCTGATGCACCTCGACGGTGATGTCGATGCCGTTGTCGCCGGCCATCGCCCCAACCTCGTGCAGGGTGCGAGCCGTGCGGACGAAGTCTTCTTCGCTCGCCATCTGGCTGGAGCCGTGCGACTGAGGCGCGCCGGACGGTCCGGTGTCCAGTTCGCGATTTGGCGGCGGGCCGCTGAGCGCGGTGTTCACGACCTCAGCGCCGAGCAATGATGCAATCTCTACGGACTTTTCGAGTCGCTTGCGATTGTGCTCCGCGGTCTGCGGGTAGCAGAGGGCGCCGCCCGCGCGTATGGCGACACAAGGCGTGCCTTCGTCGTCGAGCCGCTGCTTCAACTCCTTCACGTCGCTCTTCTTGGCGTCGATGCCACCGAAGCTGTCCAGGCCAAGCTCGATGCCGTCGAAGCCGATATCGCGCACCTTGCCGAGATAGTCGGACAGCGCGCGCTCGTCGGGGAGCGCCCAGGCCGCGCCTGCCTCGAATGGGTAGTATGTGCTGCGGCGGAATGCGTATGCGATTTTCATTGTGGAGACTCCTCCCAATCAGTGAATAACAAATATGCAGTACATCAGATTCGTTGCCCCATTAGCCACCTACTCTTCCAGCCCGAACGCGCCCACTGCCATGTCCACGATGTAGCGGCTGATGGTGAGGGATGATGTTGCGCCCGGCGACGGCGCGCTGAGCACATGGATGGCGTTCTCGGTCTCGGATATGGCGAAGTCCTGGAGCAGGTTGCCGTTGTAGTCCACCGCCTGCGCGCGGACGCCTGCGCCGGGCTCGCCGAGATCGTCCATCTCGACTGAGGGCACGAGTGTTTGCAGCGACTTCAGGAACAGCGACTTTCGCAGCGAGCGGTGCTGTTCGTCCAGCCGCTCTTCCAGTGGGACATGGACATCTTCCAGAAGCCGGGGTATGTGAATGTGCCTAGCGTGTCGCTGAGGCTGAAGCTGGTCTTGGTGTAGCCCTCGCGCGCGAAGGCGAGCACGGCGTTGGGTCCTGCCTCCACACTGCCTGTGACGCGCTTGGTGAAGTGTACGCCGAGGAAGGGCAGGCTCGGGTTTGGCACGGGGTATATCAGGCTGCGAACCAGGTACTGGCGCTCCGGTCGTATCGAGAAGTATTCGCCGCGGAAGGGTATGATACGCAGGCCCGGCTCCCCGCCCATCATTCGCGCCACCTGATCGGCTTGCAGTCCGGCACAGTTGATGACGTGCCTCGCGGCAATCTCGCCGCGCGAGGTCTCCATGTACATCTGCCCGTCGCGCCGCGTAATGCCGTGAACAGCAGTGTTGAGGAACAGGTCGCCGCCGTTCTCGCCGAACTCGGTGGCATACGCCTGCGACACCTCCTTGAAGTCGATTATGCCCGTGTTGGGCGAGAAGATCGCCTGAACTCCGGCTGCATAAGGCTCAAGCTCGGCGAGCCGCTCTTTGCCGACCATCTCCAAGCCTTCTGCGCCATTGGCGGTGCCACGCTCGTACAAGTCTTGCAGGCGCGGCACTTCTTCGTCGTTAATGGCGACGATGACCTTGCCGCACATCTCGTACTCGATGCCGCGTTCATCGCAGAACTGGCGCAGCAGCTTGCCACCGGTTGAGCAAAAGTTCGCCTTCTGCGAACCGGGCGCGTAGTATATGCCGGCGTGGATGACGCCGCTGTTGTGCCCGGTCTGGTGCTGCGCGACCTCTCCATCCTTTTCCAGCACGATTATCTTGTAGCGCGGGTATTCCTGCGCGAGTCGCATGGCGGTTGCAAGCCCGATAATGCCCGCTCCGATTACTGCAATGTCATATCCTTGAAAGTTCATAATCTCTCCGTCGGCGCCGTTTTTAGGGTATGGGTATAGGCTATGATACGGGATTGTAACATAGTGGTGAGAGTATTCTGTGTGCAGACATTCTCGCCCCATTTTTGCCTTCTCCCGTCGAAGTGCAGGGAGTTTGTAAACTCGGATTTGCAAACTATTCTCGCCGTGTTAGGCTTTCAGCGTAGAGAACGGTACAGACGGTAAAGGACGGATGACATGGCAGCGCAATACTCGGCAATCATCGTGGGTGGCGGGCATAACGGGCTGGTAGCGGCGAACTATCTCGCGCGCAAGGGCAATAGCGTGCTCGTGCTGGAGCGACGCGACTTCGTTGGCGGCGCATGCATCACGGAGGAACTGTTTCCCGGCTTCCGAGTCTCAAGCTGTTCTTATATCTGTCACATGCTGCAGGAGAAGGTCATAAACGACCTTGAGCTTCGCAAGCACGGGCTTGAGATATACGAGATGGACCCGGTGAGCTTTAGCCCGCTGCCTGGAGGCGAGCATCTGCTGCGCTGGCACGATGACGAGCGCACTGCGGAGAGCATCGCGCGCATATCGCCTGCCGACGGCGCGCGCTACCACGACTGGGTGGCGTTCTGGGAGCGGGCCGGAGGCATCATACAGCGTTACTTCCTGACAGACCCTCCCACGCTCGCCGAGGTCGCCGCCGATGTGCGCGGCACGCCTGAAGAAGCCATATTCGAGCGCATGCTCACCGGCAGCATGAAGGACCTTGTGGAGGAGTACTTCGAGTCGCCTCTGGTGCGAGCCTGCTTCATAGACGCGCAGGACGCAGGCGATGTTCGCGCTCCAGGAAGCATCATGGCTGTAGGATACATCCGCAGCGACATACTCACGCCCGACGAGAATTTCGGCATTCCGAAAGGCGGCATGGGGGCAATTACCCAGGCGATGGCGCGCTCTGCGGAGGCGCAGGGCGTGGAGATTCGCCTCAATGCCGAGGTGCAACAGATACTTACGAACAGTGGCAGGGCGAACGGCGTGCTGCTGGCGAACGGGGAGCGCATCCACGCGGATGCTGTGCTATCGAACGCCGACCCCAAGCGCACCTTCCTGTCGCTGATGGAAGCTGACGAAGTGCCTCCGGCGCTGCTGACGGACATACGTCGCGCCAAGACGAACGCATCGTACCTGAAGTTCCACTGCGCTCTGAGCGAACTGCCGGACTTCTCGGCGTACTTGGGGCAAGACTACGATCCTAAGGCGCTGGCGTACACCCGCATCTGCCCATCGGTCGAATACTTCGAGCAGAATTGGGATGAAGTCAAGAGTGGGAGGCCGTCGAGCTGCCCGGTGATGTTCATTCAGATTCCGACCGTGTATGACGACACGCTGACGCCGCCGGGCAAGCATGTGATGTCTGTCTGGTCGATGTATGCGCCCGTACAACTGCGCGAAGGTACATGGCAGGACGCGAAGCAGGCTGTAGGTGAGCACCTGATCGACACGATAGCGCAGTACGCGCCGAACTTCCGCGATGTGATGCTCGACTGGGAGCTTTTCACGCCCGTTGAACTTGAGGAGCGTGTAGGGCTGACAGACGGCAACATCCGCCACCTCGACATCACCTCGGAGCAGATGTTCACGGGACGCCCTAGTCGCAGTCTTGCTGGCTACCGTACGCCAATCGAAGGGCTGTACATGTGCGGCGCGGGCGCGCATCCCGGCGGCGAAGTTACGGGCGCGCCGGGGCACAACGCGGCGCATACCCTGCTGCGCGACTGGGAGCAGATTACATAGATTTTACGGTGAAAATGGGATGTGCGATAGAATAGGATTCGTGTCTCAGCACACTCGATTCAGTGAGTCGAAGTGGTGCTGGTCTTCCCTGCAAATCGTCAACCAATGAACCAACATCAACCCTATCTATACGGAGTACATAAGCATGACCACCACCGACATACACTTTATGACCGCCGTCGAACTGGCTCAGCGCATACGCAGCGGGGAACTCTCCTGCGTGGAGGTGATGCAGGCGCACCTGGCGCAGATTGACCGCGTGAATCCGAAGGTCAACGCCATCGTAACTTATCATCCGGAGCAGGCGCTGGAATGCGCAAAGGCTGCGGACGCCGCGTTGGCGCAAGGCGATGAAGTCGGTCCGCTGCATGGCTTACCTGTGGCGCACAAGGACCTCGTTGACACCGCAGGAGTGCGAACCACTTATGGCTCGCCCATATACGCCGAGCACATTCCGCAGCAGGATGCGCTTATGGTCGAGCGGCTGAAGCAGGCGGGCGCTATCTCCGTGGGCAAGACGAACACGCCGGAGTTTGGCGCAGGCTCACAGACTTTTAATAAGGTCTTCGGCGCGACGCTGAACCCATACGACCTGACAAAGACCTGCGGCGGCAGCAGTGGTGGCGCCGCAGTTGCGCTCTCATGCGGCATGGTGCCTATCGCGGACGGGAGCGACCTCGGTGGCTCTCTTAGAAACCCCTCGAATTTCTGCAATATCGTGGGGTTCCGGACAGCGGTCGGGCGCGTACCCGTCTGGCCGTCACAGATGCCCTGGTCACTGCTGTCGGTGCAGGGGCCTATGGCTCGGACAGTGCAGGACACCGCTCTGATGCTCAGCGCCATCGCAGGACCCGATGCGCGCTCGCCCATTGCCTTGACGGACGTAGGTGAGTCCTTCAATCCGCTAATGCACTCGCTGGAGCGCGACTTCGATGGCGTTCGTATAGCGTGGAGCAGCGACATGGGCGGTCTGCCCGTTGACCGGCGCATTGTGTCAGTCATCGAGAGTCAGCGTGGCACATTCGGGGAACTAGGCTGCGACTTAGACGAAGCGTGTCCCGATTTCAGCGATGCCAACGAGGTTTTTATGGTGTCGCGAGCCGCTGGCATGGCCGCTACTCGCGCAGAGATGCTGAATACGCACCGCGATCAGATTAAGGACACGGTGATATGGAACATTGAAGAGGGCTTGAAGCTCACTGCAGCCGATGTGGGCATCGCGGAGGTCAAGCGCGCCGCTCTCTACGAGCGTGTTCGCAAGTTTATGGAGACCTATGAGTTCATGGTCTTCCCGGTCAGCCAGCACCCGCCTTTCGATGTAACTCAGCCGTACCTCACAGAGGTTAACGGTGTGCAGATGGAGACATACATCGACTGGATGCGCTCCTGCTACTACATAACCGCGACCGGGCATCCCGCCATCTCGGTGCCGTGCGGCTTCACTGATGAAGGCTTACCCGTGGGCGTGCAGATAGTGGGTCGGCATCAGAGCGAGGTCAGCGTGCTGCAATTGGCTTATGCCTTCCAGCAGGCGACAGGCTTTTGGAAGCAGAGACTGACGTTGCTGTGTAGAGAGTATTGCCTGCTTACAGCCATCTGATTTACATGCGTTCACCTGCGCAATATTTCTACGAGAGGCAGATAATGACAGAAATCCTCTGCTATGACGACAGCTACCTGCGCGAGTTCGACGCCACTGTTATCGACACCGCGCCTAAGGGCGTTATGCTCGACCGCACGGCGTTCTACCCGGGCGGCGGGGGGCAGCCTGCGGACAGCGGCACGCTCACCGCAGGCGAGGTGCCCTACACGGTCAAGCGCCTGTCGCGGCAGGACGGCAAACTGGTGCATGAGATTGATGGCGACCTGCCCCCTGTCGGCGCGAGCATGCATGGCGAGCTAGACTGGGATCGCCGATACCTGCTGATGCGCACGCACACGGCGCTGCATATTCTCTGCGGCGTGGTATGGCGCGACTATGGCGCGCAGGTTACCGGGGGTAACATGCAGCCCGGGAGCGCGCGCATGGACTTCGAGTTTGAGAACATGTCAGCAGATTTCGCCGAGCGCATGGAGACGTTGGTGAATGAAGAGGTGCAGGCGGCGCGTGGCATAGAAATCAAAACTCTGCCTCGTGAAGAAGCCTTCAGCATCCCCGACCTGATACGCACTAAGATAAACTTGCTGCCGCCCGCAATCACCGAGATTCGCACTGTCAACATCACAGGTCTTGATCTGCAGGCGGATGGCGGAACGCATGTCGCCAACACCAGTGAAGTAGGCGCAATCAGCGTTGTCGGGCACGAGAGCAAGGGGCGCATCAATAAGCGTCTTCGCATCCGCATTGACGCCTGATATGAGGCGCCAGCCACCATCTGATAGCAGAAATCAGAGCATTACTGGCTAGTTTGTCGTAGAACAAGTTCTGTTTCCTGATAAGATAGTAGGTAAGGCGTTAGTTTATTACGCCGCCATCACATCAGGGAGATTGCCATGACCGACCTAATGCGGTATTCGGAACTTGTCATTCGGCAGCAGGTTGAGCAGTTAGAGATATTCACGCCGTTCGAGACGGCCAATCGCTATAGCGTCCACACATCCGACGGCGCGCAGTTGATGTACGCTTACGAGGAGTCGGGTAGCATGAGCCGACAGTTCACGGGATCGCACCGCGCACTGTCCATACATGTCGTGGACGGAGACAGTAAACCTGTCCTGCAGGCAAGCCGCGACTTCTACTGGGTGAGGTCGCACCTGCGAGTGCATGTAGATGGGGGGCATATCGGTACGCTCAACGCCAGTTTGGATTTGGGCGCAAGTTCTCGCTTGTGGACGCCAACGAGCGTGAGATTACGCGGATAACCAGCGGTCTTTTCCGCCCGCACACATTCATAGCCAAGAACGCGCAGGGCGGCGAGATTGCGCGCGTCACCAAGCGTTGGAGCGGGTTCGGGCGCGAGATGTTCACAGACGCCGACACCTTCGTTGTGCAGTTCACAGACAGCAGCACAGACCAGGAGTTTCGCCTGCTGATGCTCGCCTCTGCCTTCGCCATTGACCTGGACTTCTTCGAGGGCAACAACGACTAGGGTGCGGAGATACTTGCCTAGCCAGGCATCCACTGACTGTACAGCCCGCTTATTCTGTCATTCTTCACTCCGATCCTCTGCATTAAGAATCTGAAATTTTATGTCCCGCCTGCGTGAAGATTTCACGTCCATCGTTCTGCCCGGAATTAAAGATCAAAGTGGTGGTGGAACGATGCTGGAATGTCGAGAGAAACCTGGCGGTGAAGTTACATTATCAAGGAAAGGTGTGGCGTGTCCGTTGACAAGGTCAGGACGAGCAGGTGGCGTGAACAGGATGGTAGAATGATGATCATCCGGGAATTCAGAGCGTTGTCTTCGATTCGATTACACACTCGCAGACTCGTCGGTGGGCATCATTGATAGTGCGAACTATGCACTGATAAGGCTCGGTCTGCCCACTGCTACAGACGACGCCATTCGCCGTACATCGGGATGTCGCTGACAGGCACGCTTCCGGCGCTGGCGGGTAAGGATCATGCGGAGCACGCGGACGAGTTCATGCGCCTGTTCATAGAGCGGGCAGATGAGGTGATGCACGACTCCACGGTGGTGTACGAGTTTGTTCAGTCGCTGGTGGATACGCTGCTGTGTCACGCATCGCGCTGGGCATCGTATCGTCGAGGGACGTTGGCGCATTCAGGGGATATTGAATCGGGAAGGTCTTGACGGGCGCTTCAGCGTGATCGTAGGGGGGAGATGTGGAGGAACTGAAGCCGACCCGACGGGTCTGCTCGCGCGCGGTTGATGCGCTGGATACGCCCAAAGGGCGCTGCCTGTATGTGGGGGACAGTGTTACGGACGCGGAGACTGCGCGGCGGGCTGATTTACCCTTTGCTGCCGTGCTGTCGGGGGTTACGGAATGCGAGGCGTTTGCCGAATACCAGCCGGTGATGGTCCTGCAGAGTGTCGTCGGAGTTGCCAGCGATGTTAGATGCTATGGTGGATCACTAAGCGCTATTTATCCCTCTCACATTTCGCTTTCAAAATTCGTTTAACATTCCGTTCAAATTCCCTTACATGCGTGCCATTCCTGTGCTAGCATCGGCTGACTAGGTTAAATTTCATACCTACGGTTGGTTGGGAGACATAGGGACATGTCTGACATCACCCTTCCGAAGCACGCCAGAGCGGTCATCGTTGGCGCGGGCATCGTAGGTTGCAGCGTTGCCTATCACCGTCACAGCTCGGCTGGCGTGATCTTGTCGTGGTCGAGCAGCGCTGTTCGAGACGGGCGCTCGACGTCCCACGCCCGGGCTTGTTTTCCAGGTAAACCCTTCTAAGACTATGGCGGGCTTCGCCAAGTACACGGTCGACCTGTGGAGCGGGATGCAGCTCGACGGTGAGCAGTGCGCGAAGAATGTTGGCAGCCTCGAAGTGGCGTGGACGCCGGAACGCCTCGCCGATCTGAAGCGCAAGGCAGGCTACGGGATGAGCTGGGGCATTGAGGGGCATGTAATCAGCCCTAGCGAGGCGCGCGAGTTCATTCCGATGCTGTCGGAGTGCATTCTTGTGCGCTGTATGTGCCGTCCGACATCCAGACGAAGGCACGCGGACCGCAGAGGCGATGGCGCAAAGAGCAGAGCGCAAACGCGCAGTTTCTACGCGGCGTTAGGTACGGGCTTCGGGATCGATGGTGGGCGGATTACCGCGGTGCAGACCTCGCACGGGGACATCAGGACCGAACTCGTCATTGCATTGCGCGGGCATCTGGGCGCCGAAGGTGGTCGGGTATGCGGGCGGTGCCCATTCCTCTATCGCCTATGGAGCACTGTAGCGTTACCACTCCTGTCGAGGGACTCGCGGGCGCGACGGAGGAGATAACGCACCTCTTTGCGGCACCAGGAACGCGGCGATGCTACTCCGCAGGTTGGGGAGTCTACGCATAGGTCGTACAACCACGAACCATCTGGTGGACGCCGAGGACATTCTGGACCACGAGGACGCCTATCGCGCCTCTGAGACTGAGTTCACGCCAAAGCATTTCGAGAGGCTGCGGCTGCGGCTGGTGAATTGCTGCCCGGCTGAAGGGCGTGGGCTGACGCGCAAGTTCAACGGCATGTTCTCGTTCACGACTGACGGCTTTCCGGTGCTGGGCGAATCGCCGCAGGTTCGGGGGTTCTGGTCGGCGCAGGCGGTGTGGATACCAGGCGGGAGGCGTGGGCAAGGCGGTCGCCGAGTGGATCGTGAACGGCGAGCCAACGACCGATCTGCGGGAGTGCGACATTCGGCGTTTCCATCCTCACGCATACACGCGCCCTTATGTGAAGGCGCGCGCGGCGCAGCAGTACCGCGAGGTGTATGACATCATCACCCGCGTCAGCAGCTTGAGAATCCACGCAACCTGCGACGACGCCGTTCTTCGCCGGCAGCAGGACTGGGCGGCGTGTTCTTCGAGTAACGCGGGCTGGGAGCGTCTCAGTGGTACGACTCGAACGAGGGCTGCTGGATTCGCTGACGGTCACAGGCGAGACGCGCACAGGCTGGGAGGCGCGGGAGTGGTCGCCGACCGTGGCTGCGGAGCATGTCGCCACGGGAAGCGGGTTGCGATGTTCGACATGACGCCGTTCGCCAATTTCGAGTGACGGCCGTGCCCTGCACGCTCTCCAACGCCTTCGCCACGAATCAGATGAACAAGCCTGTCGGGAGCATCACTTACACATCGATGGTTACGCCGAGCGGCGGCATCAAGTGCGACCTGACGGTTACGCGGCTGGACGAAGACCGCTTCATGGTAGTAACGGGCGGCGCGATGGGACTGCACGACCTGGCGTGGATAGAGGCGCATCTGCCTGCGGACGGCTCGGCGAGAGTCGATGATGTGTCGGCAGCGCTGTGCTGTATCGGCTTGTGGGACCCAGTGCGCGAGACCTGTTGAGCCGGGTTTGTGATGACGACCTGAGCAATGAGGGTTTCCCGTACATGAGGGCGAAGCGGATAGCGATAGGCGAAGTGCCCGCGCTTGCGCTGCGTATCTCGTATGTGGGGGAGCTGGGCTGGGAGATATACGCGCCGTCCGAACAGGGACTGCGGCTGTGGGATATTCTCTGGGAGGCGGGGCAGCCGCTCGGTGTGGTTGCGGCTGGCGGCGGCGCGTTCGACTCTCTGCGGCTGGAGAAGGGCTACCGGCTGTGGGGCAACGACATACACACGGAGTACAACCCTTATGAGGCGGGCATCGGCTTTGCGGTGAGGATGCGGAAGGGCGATTTCATTGGAAGGGATGCACTCAGGCAGTCGCGCGCGGAGGGGGTCGGGCGGAAGTTGTGCTGCATGACGCTGCATGATGTGAATGCGGTGGTGATGGGCAAAGAGCCAATCGTCGATGGTGATGGTGATGGCGTGCTTGGGTATGTGACGAGTGCGAACTACGGGCATTCGATTGGCAGAGGCATCGTGTACGGCTACCTGCCGACGGAGTACGCGGATGTTGGAACGAAGGTGGATGTGCTGTACTTCGGGGAGCGGCTTGGGGCGACGATTGCAAAAGAACCTTTGTACGACCCGGACGGCAGCAAGATGAGGGCGTGAACTCCAAGCGGGACGCTGACTGGCGGCATAGAGAATATCTGAAAACCATATAACCGCGTTCCAGAAATTGCAGGTTCTAACCTGCTGAAGCATTGTCTTACTTACCCAAAAGAGTGTGGTTCTTGCCGCAGACGGAGGATTCAGATGGTCAAGCAATTGAGTCATACGGTAAAGCGACCAGGCAGGCTCCTCGGAGACCCTGATGTAGAGATTCCGGTTGCCGAAGATTTGGCCTCAGTCCCCGGTGTTCCGCAGAACCCGGTGGATGTGGCTTTCTATAGCAGGGAGTATCCGCTGGAGACACAGACCATCGAGAAGTCCGCCGATCGGCAGTGGGCATTGGCGACGCAGTCGAAGGACTTCGACGAATTCAGAGAGGGGCATGACGAGCCGCATGAAGCCGATGTTCGAGGCTGCGCTGGTTTCCGGCGAGGTCGAGCCTACGGGGACGCCCGTGCCCGGCGAGGACCTCACGGACGACATCCGACGGCTGGCGCGCGAGATGGGCTTCGGCGAGGTGGGATTCACCCGGTACGATCGGCGCTACACTTCGCCGGCAAGAAGCGCTGGGCGAAGTACGAACATGCCATTTGCCTGGCGCTGGAGCAGGACTACGTTGGAACGCAGACCGGTCCAAGCCCAGAGTCCGATATTGCGCGCTTTGAGACCTACGAGGTCGAGCAGGAGCTCTGCCTGAAGATGTGCGACTACCTGAGGTCGAGAGGCTACCACGCGCAGGTTCACGATGGCAGCGATTGCAGTGGGCCGTACATTCCCCTGTTCGTTGCGGCCGGACTGGGGCAGCTCGGCGCTAACGGGCAACTCCTGTCGCCGCATTTCGGCTCGCGGTCGCGGCTGATGCTTGTAACGACCGACGCGCCACTGACCTACGACAAGCCTGTTGACTACGGCATCCATAAGTTCTGCCAGCAGTGCCAGGTGTGCGTCAATCGGTGCCCGGGGCGAGCGATTCCACGAGACAAGGTCTGGTGGAGAGGAGTCGAGCGGAACAAGCTCATATACGACCGCTGCCGCCCTGTGATGGTTACATATCACGGCTGCGCGGTTTGCATGATTGTCTGTCCGATCCAGCGGTATGGGATGAAGCCGGTGATGGAGCATTATGTGGGGACTGGGGAGGTGCTTGGCAAGGGCAGCGAGAACCTGGAGGGATACTCACTCAAGGGGAAGGGGTACTTCGGTGCCGGCGAGCTGCCGCAGTTCAGTCGGGACTTCTTCGAGATCCCACAGGGCCGCGAGGAAGACTGGCTGTTCGAGAAGTTCAAGGAGCGGCTGAACGCGACCGGCGTGCCCAGCGAATCCGAGCTTGTGGACTTTGCGAACGATGTCATGGAGGTCCTGGAGAAAGGAGAGACGACCTTCGATGTAGCCTAATACCGGGGTAAGCATGGATGGACTGGGTTATTGAAATGAGAGTGAAGGAGGCGCGTAGAGTTTAGGGAGCGTTATTTATCCGCGTTGGTGTGTCATTTTGAATTGGTGATAGAGCCATATAACGGAGGTTCTAAAGTGGCGCAAACTCTGGTTATCGACGGTCTTAAGCGGCGTAAATTGCCGATCAACCTCCGACAGAGCGGAAACAGCGACGCCCAGATGCTGATTTCCACTCGCATCAGGAAGTCCCCGTGGTGGCATCTTTCAAAGGCTGCCGGCTGCTGGGCATATACGACTTACAACCACATGTACCACCCGCGCGCATATATCAAACCCGAGGACGGGGGGCTCCTAAAGGAGTACAAGTATCTGACCGAGCATGTCAGCATGTGGGACGTGGCGGTTGAGCGGCAGATTCAGGTTAAGGGTCCTGATGCCGCAGAGTTCGTGAACTACATCATTACGCGGGATGTGCATACAATGCTGCCTACGATGCGGGCGCGGTATGTAATTCTGTGCAACCAGTACGGTGGCGTCATCAACGACCCTGTGCTGCTACGCGTGGCGGAGGATGAGTTCTGGTTCAGCATCTCGGACTCGGACCTGCTGTTGTGGGCGCAAGGAGTGAATCATGCGGGCAGGTTCAATGTGAGCATCAACGAGATCGATGTGTCGCCTGTGCAGATACAGGGGCCGAAGTCGGTGGACTTGATGGAGAAGATGTTCGGTGAGCAGATCAGAGCTATCCCGTACTACGGGCTGCTGAGGGCGACACTGAACGGGCGCGAGGTAACGATCTCCCGCACGGGGTTCTCGGGCTGAAGTGGGGTTCGAGATATACCTGCACGACGCGATGCTGTACGCGGATGATGTGTGGCCGCACATCCTGGAGCAGGGCGAGGAGTTCAACCTGCGCGTCATAGCGCCGAGCCACATCAGGCGGCTGGAGGCGGGCATACTGTCTTACGGGCAGGACATGGACATCGAAAACAACCCGTTCGAGGTTCGGCTGGGCTGGCAGGTTGACCTGAGCAAGGACGACTTCGTGGGCAAGAAGGCGCTGGCGAAAATCAAGGAAGAGAGAGTGCAGCAGCGACTCGTGGGCCTCAAGGTGGGCGGCGAGCCGATTAGCTGGTACAACGAGAGCTTCTATCTCGTCAAGGACTGCGACTCAGGGGATGATGTGGGCTATGTTACCAGCGCGTTCTGGTCGCCGAGTATGGGGTCGAACATTGCGTTTGCGGTGATGCCGCGCTCGCACTGGAGGCAGGGCACCGGCGTCAAGGTCGAGTTGCCTGCGGACGGCATTGTGGACGCGGAGGTAGTGCGGGTGCCGTTCTTCGACCCGACGAAGGAAATGCCTAAGACAGCCTTGTAAAGAAATTGTAAGCCTCAATTGAAGTTGAACGAAAAGGCCCTGCATGTCAGGGTCTTTTCTTTTGCTGAACTCACTTGGGAAGCATAGAGTGGGAGTTAGTTTCTGGCGCGATTTGCTATTGTTTCCGATTGATATAACATGGGCGTGTAAGAAACAGAACATCGTAATGGAGTAGGTAAATGAGCTTTGAGAATGTGAGCCTCTTTCCGTTTACGGCGGAGGTGAATGAGGACGACCACCTTGTTATTGGCGGGTGCGATGTGGTCGGTCTGGCGGCGGAGTTCGGGACCCCGCTGTATGTGTTCGACGAGGATACCCTGCGGGGGATGTGCCGCTGAGTTCAGGACGGAGTTCGGGACGCGCTACCCGAATAGCCGAGTCGCATACGCATCGAAGGCGTTCGTGAATCCGGCGATCGCGCGAATCGTTGCCGAAGAGGGTTTGGGTCTGGATGTGGTGTCGGGGGGCGAGCTTGCGGTGGCGCGGGCTGCGGATGTGCCGCCGGACACCATATATTTTCATGGGAATAACAAGACGCCGGAGGAGCTGGAGTTCGCTCTGGACTATGGCATCGGGCAGATTGTGGTGGACAGCTTTCATGAACTGGAAGTGCTGGATGCCATCGCGGGCGAGCGGGGCGTAAGACAGGACATTATGTTGCGTCTGTCGCCGGGCATTGACGCTCATACCCATGAGAAGACGACTACGGGGATTCTGGACAGCAAGTTCGGGTTTTCGATAGAGACTGGGGATGCCGCGAAGGCGATACGTCAGGCGATGTCGGCGGCAAACCTTGACCTGGTGGGCATACATTTTCACCTGGGGTCGCCGATATTTGAGCTTGAGCCGTATGAGTTGGGCGTCGAGGTGGTACTGAACTATTTGACGCAGTTCAAGGAAGAGGGGCTCCGACTGGAGATATTCAGCCCAGGCGGTGGATTCGCCATCGGGTATGTTCGCAGCGAGCCCCCTCCTCAGATTGCTGAGTACGCCGAGTCAATCACGAAGTACACCTCGCGGCTGTGCGAGGAACTGGGCTTTGGGACGCCGTTGCTGGTAGTGGAGCCGGGTCGATCAATCGTGGGGCGCGCTGGTGTTGCTCTGTACACAGTAGGGGGTATCAAGGACATCCCGACGGTACGGAAGTACGTGTCGCTGGACGGCGGGATGGGCGACAACATTCGACCCGCGATATACGGCTCGGAATATGAGGCTGTGCTGGCGAGCAGGATGTCTGCTCCGCCTGCCGAGGTGGTTACGCTGGCTGGGAAATACTGTGAATCGGGCGATGTGCTGGTCAAGGACATCACGATGCCAGTGGTGGAGCCGGGAGACATCATCGCCATTCCGTCGTCGGGGGCTTATGCGCCATCGATGGCGAGCAACTACAACCTGAACGGCAGACCCGCAATCGTGATGGCGAAGGATGGGGACGCGCGGCTGATTCGGAGGCGGGAGACTTATGCTGACATGATGATGGCGGATGTGTTTTAGGTGTCAGGCATCAGCCGTCAGGATTCGGGGGCGGGGCTAACACCACGAGCATGAATAAGGTATAGACTCACGAGAGCAGACGGGAGGCTCGGTACTATGACCGACACGAACGAGATTATTTACGCATCGGCGAGAACTATGGCGCGGGCGATTCAGGACAAGGAAGTGTCTGCGGTGGAACTGGTGGAGGCGCACCTGGCGCGGATCGAGGAAGTGAACCCTACGATCAACGCAGTTGTGAAGCTTGCGGCGGAACGGGCACGCGCAGAGGCGGCTGAAGCGGACGCCGCGCTTGCCAGAGGCGAGAGCAAGGGTGCGCTTCATGGCGTGCCTTTCACGCTGAAGGATTCGATTGACACCGAGGGCATCATCACGACGGGCGGGACGCTGGGGAGGTCTGAGTTCGTGCCTGATGCTGATGCCACGGTTGCGGCGCGGTTGCGAGCTGCGGGCGGCATTCTGCTAGGCAAGTCGAATACGCCGGAGCTTACGCTTGCCGCCGAGACGGATAACCTTGTGTACGGGCGGACGAACAACCCGTTCAATGTGGATCGTACGACCGGAGGGTAGCAGCGGCGGCGCTGGGGCTATCGTGTGCTGCGGGGGCGCGGCGTTCGACATCGGCAGCGATACGGGCGGGAGTGTGCGCTATCCGGCACACTTCTGCGGCATCGCGGGGCTGAAGCCGAACTCTGGGCGCGTGCCGCGCACCGGGCATATCGTGTCGCACAGCATGGGCGCGGTCGATTCGCTGACGCAGAACGGGCCGATGGCGCGGTATGTGGAGGACCTCGCGCTTCTCCTGCCTATTATATCGGGGCCGGACTGGAGCGATCCGTTTATCGTGCCGATGCCGCTGGGAGATCCTGCGGATGTCGATTTAGGTGGTCTGCGCGTATGCTTCTATACGGACAACGGGATACGCACGCCGACGGCGGAGACGGTAGCGGCTGTGCGGATGGCGGCTGATGCGCTTGCTGACGCAGGATGCTCGGTGGAAGAGGATGTGCCATCCGTTATTGCCGAGAACCCGAACATATCAAACGAGCTATCGGGAGGCGACGGCAGGGCGTGGACGAATCGGCTGCTTGAGAAGTGGGGCACGACGGAGACTTTCCCCTATCTGACGCGGCGAATAGCGAGATCGCAGGACGATATGGTGTCTGTGGGTGACTTTACCGCGAGACTGGAGCATGTTGACGGTTTCCGCAGCGCAATGCTGGGCTTCATGCAGGACTACGATGTCATCATCTGTCCGGTTGCGGCATTTGCAGCGCTCCCGCATGGGGAGTCGCTGAAGGACGAGAACCAGCCGGGCATGAGCTACGCGGCGACATACAACATCACGGGCTGGCCCTCGACGGTCATACGGGGCGGCACATCCCCGGAAGGTCTGCCGATTGGCGTGCAGGCCGTGGCGCGGCCGTGGCGCGAGGATGTGTCGCTGGCGGTGGCGCAGTACCTGGAAGGCGTGCTGGGCGGGTGGCAGAAGCCGCCGATTTAAGAGCCGACACTGATTCATAGGTTTGACAGCACGGCTAGACAAGCTCACCACTAACGTTAATCGGAAATAGTCCTGGGGAGGCTGATAATGGACAACATCATCTACTCTTCGGCGAAGTCTATGGCACAGGCTGTACGGGACAAAGAAGTGTCGGCGGTAGAGCTGGTGGATGCGCATCTGGCGCGCATCGAGGAGGTGAATCCGGCGCTGAACGCGGTGGTGCAGCTTGCGGCGGAGCGAGCACGGGCGGAGGCGGTGGAAGCGGATGCTGCGCTTGCTCGTGGTGAAAGCAAGGGTGCGTTGCATGGCGTGCCGTTCACACTGAAGGATTCTATAGACACCGAAGGCATCATAACGACTGGCGGCACACTGGGTCGTAAGGACTTTGTGCCGGATGCAGATGCGACGGTGGCGGCACGGCTGCGGGCTGCTGGGGGCATCCTGTTAGGGAAGACGAACACTCCGGAGCTTACATACGCAGGTGAGACGGACAACCTCATATACGGTCGGACGAATAACCCGTTCGATTTGAGCCGTACTCCGGGAGGCAGCAGCGGCGGAGCAGGAGCGATCGTTTGTTGCGGTGGCGCGGCATTCGACATCGGCAGCGATACGGGAGGCAGCGTGCGTGGTCCGGCGCACAACTGCGGCATTGCTGGGATCAAGCCGAACTCCGGGCGCGTGCCTCGCACGGGGCATATCGTGCCGCACAGCTTCGGGGCTGCCGATTCGCTGACGCAGAACGGGCCCATGGCGCGGTATGTGGAGGACCTGGCGCTGATTCTGCCCATCATTTCGGGGCCGGACTGGGACGACCCACATATTGTTCCGATGCCCCTTGACGATCCTTCGGACGTGGACATTGGTAAGTTGCGAGTGGCCTACTACGCACACAACGGCGTGAACACGCCAACAGAGGAGATAATGGCGGCAACGAGGACGACTGCCTTGGCGCTCGATGATGTCTGCGCTTCGGTGGTAGAGGACCTGCCGCGCGCCATACCGGACAACCCTGACATAAACAACCAGATGAGCCAGGCGGACGGGCAGGCGGCAGCGCGTCGTCTGCTGGCGAAATACGGAACGACCGAGACGCACGAATGGATTGCTCGACTTCTGGAAAAGGCGAGTGAGAACATGGTCTCCGTGCAGGAGTACACGGCAATGCTGGAAAGAGTAGATGCCTACCGCAGCGAGATGCTCGGCTTCATGCAAAACTACGATGTCATCGTCTGCCCGGTGTCTTCATATGCCGCATTACCTCACGGCGAATCAATGTTCAACGAGAAGTACACGGGGATTGGCTACATGGCCACATACAACATCACCGGCTGGCCCTCGACGGTGGTGCGCGGCGGTACATCACCGGAGGGATTGCCGATTGGCGTGCAAGTGGTGGCGCGTCCGTGGCGGGAGGATGTGTCGCTTGCGGTGGCGCAGTACCTGGAAGGCGTGCTCGGCGGGTGGCAGAATCCGCCGATTTAGGTATAGCCGACATGGATGGGCAGGACGGCAGGGTTACTTATTGACTCGGAGAAAGTGAGGCTCGACTCTATGACCGACACTAACGACATTATCTACGCATCGGCTAAGACTATGGCACAGGCGATTCAGGACAAGCATGTGTCGGCGGTGGAGCTGGTGGAGACGCACCTGGCACGTATTGACGAGGTTAATCCGGCGCTGAACGCGGTGGTGCAGCTTGCGGCAAAGCGGGCGCGGGCTGAGGCGGTGGAGGCGGATGCGGCGCTTGCTCGCGGTGAGAGCTTGGGCACGCTGCATGGAGTTCCTTTCACGCTGAAGGACTCGATAGACACCGAGGGTGTCGTCACGACGGGCGGTACGCTGGGCCGCAAGGATTATGTGCCTGATGCCGATGCGACGGTCACGGCTAGGCTGCGGGCTGCGGGTGCCATTCTACTGGGCAAGACGAACACGCCTGAGCTCACATTCGCAGGAGAAACGGACAACCTGGTGTATGGGCGGACGAATAACCCGTTCGATTTGAGTCGTGCACCTGGCGGCAGCAGCGGCGGTGCAGGAGCTATCGTGTGCTGCGGTGGCGCGGCGTTCGACATCGGCAGCGACACGGGCGGCAGCGTACGGGGTCCGGCACACTACTGCGGCATTACGGGAATAAAGCCGAACTCGGGCGCGTGCCCCGCACGGTCATATCGTGCCGCACGGCCTTGGCGCGCTGGACTCGCTGACGCAAAACGGTCCGATGGCGCGGTATGTGGAGGACCTGGCGCTCATAATGCCAATCATATCCGGGCCTGACTGGAGCGATCCGTTCATAGCGCCTGTGCCACTTGGCGATCCCGCAGATGTCGATATAAACGGGCTGCGCGTCTGCTTCTACACGGACAACGGCGTGCGAACCCCGACTGCGGAGATAATGGCGGCGGTGAGAGCAGCAGCCTCGGCGCTCGATGACGTGTGTGCGTCGGTTGAGGAGGACTTGCCCCGTGCCATACCAGAGAATCCTGGCATATCCGACATGCTGCGCCAAGGAGATGGTCAAGCCGGAGCACACCGTATGCTGGCGAAGTATGGCACGACCGAGACGCATGAATGGATGACGCGACAGTTGCAGAAGTCGAGTGAGAGCATCCTTCCCGTCGGCGAGTACACGGCTGTCCTCGAGCAGGTGGACGCTTACCGCAGCTCGATGCTGGGCTTCATGGAGAACTATGATGTAATCATCTGTCCTGTATCGTCGTTTGCCGCACTGCCGCACGGCGAATCCATGATGGACAAGAACCGTGCCGGCATGAATTACACTGCTACCTACAACATCACGGGCTGGCCCTCGACAGTGGTACGCGGCGGCACATCGCCGGATGGCCTGCCTATCGGTAGTACAGGTGGTGGCGCGACCGTGGCGCGAGGATGTGTCGCTTGCGGTGGCGCAGTACCTTGAGGGCGCGCTCGGTGGGTGGCAGCGGCCACCGATGTAGGACGTGCCGACATATGGATTCACAGGATGGAACGGATAGGGATTCCCGATGAGATGGCGAGTGGGCCTGGCATTTGGTCCGGTGCTTGCCATCTTGGTGGCCTTGCTGCTATCTGCCGTGTTTACGGAAAGGGAAAGCGCCAGCGCGCAGACGGCGATCGACTACGACAGCGACGGCAGACGGTCTCATCGAAATCACCTATCTTGAGCACTGGACGCGATGCGCTGGGATCCGCATGGGTGTGGGAATCACGGATGACGGCCATGCCAGGGAAGTGTACGAAGCCGCGTTTCCCAACGCGGTGAATGCTATGGGCTGCGAAGGGTCCTGCTCGGGCTATGAGCTAACCAGAAATCTGGATTTCAATAGCGACGGCAGCTACGCTCGGGTGTGGTGAACAAAGATTGGACCACCGGCGCCGGCTGGATGCCCATTTACAGCGATCGCAGTGGTTTCAACGCTACATTTGAGGGTAACGGCTTCACAATCGCCAATCTGTACATCAAGCGGCGCGGAGCCTCTGACACTGGCAGCACCGGCTTGTTCGGATTTACCCGTCGTGAGTTCGCCCATATACGCCGGATAGGTCTGATCTCGGTGGATGTCCGGGGGGAAAGCAGAGTAGGTGGGTTGGTCGGGCATAACGAGGGTAGGATAACCGAGAGCTATGTCTCAGGCAGGGTGCAAGGAGACAAGGATGTTGGAGGCTTGGTCGGACATCACTTCGGCGAAATCAGGAATAGTCATTCGTCGGGAAAGGTAAGTGGGAGCACGAACGTGGGCGGCCTCGTCGGGACTATCAGTGGAAATTCACCGGTTACCCTCAGTTTTTCGAATGCTTATGTGACAGGGATTGACTTAACCGGTGGACTGGCTGGGGTGAACTATGCCGGTCCCATAGTCCATTGCTACGCCACTGGCAGGGTGACGGGAAGGACAGACATCGGCGGACTGGTCGGACGCAATTGGGGCGCCGTCTCTGCTACGTACGCCACCGGCAGTGTATCCGGCGTACATATAACGGGTGGATTGATTGGGGCAAACGAAGGCACACTCATTGCAAGCTACTCCACGGGGAGAACGAGGGGGAAATATCTTTCCGGTGGCCTGATTGGCGCAAATGGCGGCACCTTATTCGCCGTCTATTCCACAGCGAGAACGTCGGGAGAACGAGCGACTGGCGGTCTGGTAGGCATCAACGACGGCACCATCATCGAAAGCTTCTGGGACATCGAAAAATCGGATACGTCGGTAGGCGTAGGCGCGGACGACCGCAATAGGGACGGCAGAGTGGGCAGCGGCGACATCGGGAGGCACACACTTGGAGTGAAGGGGCGCAGAACGCGACAATTACGGTCGCCAACGGGCTATACGGGCATCTACATCGACTGGGATAGAGACTTCGACAATGCAGACGGGGACTTTGACGAGGGTACGGGTGGAGAAGATTTCTGGGACTTCGGCACTTCGGGGAACTATCCACTGCTAAAGGCTGATTCCGACGGTGACGGTATCGCCAACTGGTGGGAGTTCGGCAGACAGCATGGGCGCAGGATAGCGCCGACGCGCACACCAACGCCGACTGCCAGTGCCACACCCACTGCAACCAACACACCGACAGTCAGCCCAACGCCAACGAATACGGCTACACCAACACTGACACTGACGCCAACGCCGACACATACTGCAACCGCCACCTCCACGCCAACGAATACGGCTACACCAACACCAACAGCTACGCCCACGCCCACACCGACTCATACGCCCACGCCGACTGATACTCCAGTTCCTACGCCTACTTCCACAGCCACTCCTGTGGTAATTGTGGTGACGGCGACGCCGGGGCCGCCACCGCCTACTCAGACGCCGTTTGTCGTGGTGGTTACGGCAATTCCGCCGACAAGTACACCTTCGCCTGCTGCGACGACTGCTCCGATTGCTGAATCGGGTGGTGGATGTGGGTTCGCTGCGGATGTGCCGCTAGGAACGGCTGCCGCAAATTTGCTGCTGTTGGTGCTGCCGCTGGGTGTGCTTGGAGGCGTGAAGTGTGTGAGGAAGAGAAGATAAAGCTCCCATTCAGATAGCCTGACTGATTTGCCTCCTGAATGGAACTTCGCCGAATACCTTCACAACCTAAAACCTGCGGGGGAGTGTGGTACTATGTGCGGAAGTTAACTAGGAGGCACACTTATGACATCCCAAGTCGGCATTTCAATGGCGCTACCAGCCTATACCGTTGACCCCGCATTCGTCGCTCGCCGCGCCGAAGAGCTCGGATTCGAGTCAATCTGGTTCGCCGAACATCCCATCCTGCCCGTCGAGTCCGACAGCCCGTTTCCGGGGTCTGACGACGGCATTATACCGTGGACATACGCGCACTTCACCGATCCGTATATTGCGCTGGCGCGCGCCTCCGCGGTCACGACGGACCTGAAGCTCGGCACGGGAATCACGCTCATCACGGAGCGCAACCCGCTTGTGCTTGCCAAGGCTATCGCCGCGCTGGACTTTTACAGCGGCGGCCGCTTCCTGTTCGGCATCGGCACGGGCTGGCACCGTGAGGAGACTGAGTTGATGGGCGGCGACTTCGACCACCGCTGGACGCAGGCACGTGAGGCTGCGCTTGCGCTCAAGGCACTGTGGACCGAGGACGAGGCGGAGTTCCATGGCAAATACTACGACTTCCCGCCAGTGCAATGCTACCCAAAGCCCGCGCAAGACCCGCACCCGCCGATTCTGCTGGGCGGCATGGCGAGGAACGTGCTGCGGCGCGTTGCCCGCTGGGGCGACGGCTGGCTGCCGAACCGCGTGACGCCGGAGCAGGTGCACGAGGGTCGTCTCATGCTCGACACGCTCGCTGCCGAGTACGACCGAGACCCCGCCGCGCTGACCATCAACATCTACGGACAGCCGCCTGAGCGCGACCTGGTGGAGTCTTACCTGGAAGCGGGCGCGAACCGTGTCATCGTGCGCTTGGAACTCTGCGAGTCTGAGGAAGCGATGGAAGAGGAATTGGGGCGCGTTGCTGCTGCCGTCTTGTAACTAACAGGATGGACAGGATACATAGGATAGAATCTGCTCTATCCAGTTAGTAAAGGAAAGGGAAAAAGACATGAAACTTGCGCTGCAATACGAGATGCAGAGGCCCTCGCTGGACGATCATCTGGTGCTTCAGGAGACGATGGAGCAGTGCATCCTCGCTGACGAGGTGGGCTTCGACTACCTATGGTTCGTGGAGCACCACTTCCTGACGGGCTTCTCGGCGTCGCCTTGTCCGGACCTCGTGTACGCCGCGCTTAGTCAGCGCACGAAGCAGATTCGGCTGGGGCTTGGCGTGGTCATCCTGCCATATCACCACCCCAATCGCGTGGCGGAGCGCGTGGCGATGCTCGACCATCTTTCGGAGGGGCGCGTGGACTTTGGCACGGGACGCTCCGCGCCATACGAGCTGACAGGCATGGGCATAGACCCGCGCGACAGCCGCGAGATGTGGGAAGAGTCGCTGTCGATGGTGCCGGATATCTGGCAGACCGACTTGTACTCACACGAGGGTAAGTATTGGCAGGTGCCGGAGCGCCAGATACTACCGAAGCCCTACCAGAACCCGCACCCGCCTATCTGGGTTGCCGCGCTCCAGCCTTCGACCTACGAGATTGCGGCGTCAAAGGGAATAGGCGTGCTGTCGTTCGGCTCTAGTGCGCCGTCCTCGCTCGAACCCTATGTTAAGGCGTACCGCGAGAATGTGAAGAAGGCGAAGCCTGTGGGCGGATTCGTCAACGACCAGTGGGCAAGCTCCACGCTCGGCGTGTGCCTGGAGGATGACCGCGAGGCAAAGGAGATGGGCGCACAGTCGCTGAAGAACTTCTTCGGTCCGGACAGGCCGTATGTGCAGGGGCAGAAGGATGTGTATGCCCAGCTTCTGGACAAGTGGGGCGGCGTGCCGGATCACCTGAAGGCAAACTTCTCACGCTACGTCGAAGATATCGAAAAGCCGGACGAGGCAAAGGAAGACATCCTTGATTACTCGGGCGGGAGCGCCATCGCGCACCAGATTTGGAGCGACCTTGACGCAGACACCTTGTGCGACCGCGCGGTGGTGATTGCAGGCAACCCAGATAGCTGCATCGAGGCGCTGAAGAAGCACGAGGCAATCGGCATCGACCAGATGATGATTATGATGCAGACGGAGACCGTTCCTCACGAGAAGGTGATGGAGTCGATCGAACTCTTCGGCAAGTATGTCATCCCGGAGTTCAAGAAGCGTTAATCCGACCGTTTAGTGGCATAGGAAAGGCAGCCGTCAGTGAATTTCTGACGGCTGCCTTTCAGTTGTGCCTGCTTTATTCAATCGAGACTCCCCTGTATCCTAATCGTCCATGATTTCTGTCACGGTGGACCTGGTAACGGTATCGAACCGGCGCTCGGTGGTTGAGGTGAACAGAGAGACCCGCATGATACGCGTTTCAGCGTTGATGCGGAGCGCCAGAGCATCCATGACATTGTTGTATATATCGAGCGCGGCCTCCAGAGAGACCTGCCGCTTCCAGTGCTCCTGCCAGGGGCCAGGGTTCACCGCGCTGATGTGGGGCAGACTCACAAGCTCCGCCATGAGGTCTTCGGCTGTCGAACTCAACGCTTCAAAGTCCTCTACACTGTCATAGCCGTCAATGCCCCTGTTGCGGAACATCACTAACTCGTACAGGAGCATCCACCAGTATATGGCGGCGAGTCGCTGCGCGTCGAGGCGCTTGCGATGTCTCTTCAGCCCCCATTCCAGCATTCTGTCGGCGTTCTGCACGAAGAGTTGCGCCACGGTGTCTGCGGCCCCATCGCAGCATGCCATCCAGAGCGCAGCGCGCTTGCGGTCGAGCTGCTCCGCGCCGAACTCCAAAGAGATGGTGCGCAACACATCGATGTCGGAGCGCAGTCTTGACTTGGGGAACCGGGGCAGCCTCAGCCTCATGTGTTCCTTCCCTCCTAAGCGATGCGACATTGAATGGCCGCACGGACGGCATGAGTTCTTGGTCGCTTATCCTATCATCATCGTGTACAACCTGTTAGCCTCGCTTCTTCTGAGGTTGACGGGCTGAGGCTGAAGGGCTGAGGCTGAAGGGAGGTTTCGATAGGCTCATGATGAGCGGGTTTTTCTTCGGAGAGATTGGGGGTTAGGGGCTGCGGTTGCGGTTGCGTTCGCGCTTGAGGCGGCGCTCTTCTCTTTCGAGTCGCCTGTCATCCTGCGCGACGGGCGAATAGCTCTGCTCCAGCCTCCAGGCTCGGTCTGCCCTTGCCTTGCGCTCCGCTGTCTCCGCCGCTCGCTCCAGTATCTCCTGCTCCCTTGCCCACGCCTCGCGCTGCTCCTCAGTTGGAGGCGTATGGCTCTGCACAACGTCTGGATGGTCTTCATCCAGGTCCTTGCAGACGCAGAGGCAGTCTGGGTGGCAGGGCGCGTAGAACATCATGAAGTCAGGATCAGGCTGCGCAGGGTTGCCAAATCCCCAGTGAAGCAGGACCTTTGCCGCTTCTATCCTGTCGCGAGTCCTTGCGTCAGGGTCGTTTGCCTTCCAGAATCTCGAGCAGGATTCTTACCATGCTGGCTCCACCCTCTGAGTCAACGCGGATGCGAGCGACGAGTTTCTTGTTCACCTTCTCGTGTTCAGGGCTGTGTGGCTGCTGAGCGGGCTGTGAGCCATCCTGCGGTTGTGCTGACACATCACCCCCATCCCAACCTTCCCCCATCGAGGGGGAAGGGGTTTTCTTGCCTGGGGCGCCGGAGTTGCCCAATGCTTCCCTGGCTTCCTCGAAGCCGAGTCTGAGCAGGATGCGCGCCGACTGGAGGCGGTGGGAAGGCTTGCCGTCGGGGTCGTCGCCGTTCATGATGGAGACGAGGTTGCGGATGATGGTTCTGCCGCCCTGAGTCTCTTCGAGGACAATGCGCTGGATGCGCTGAAGTGTATCTATGGGGATGTGCTGCGTATCTGCATCCCGTTGCTTGTGCATGGCTTCAATCATCTGTTCTGATTATAGGCACGGATGTGTGGGTTGTCAAGGGTAAAGGGACCTTTGCATATTTCTGGCATCTTGCCACGCCCTTGACCGCGCAATGAAGGCGAATTATTATGCACAGGCAGTTGGCACAGCAATTGGCACAGGCAATTGGCGGTGGCAGTCTGACACTGGTAGTCATACACGACGGTCATGACTGTGCGACGCGTGAAAGCGGTGGGTGTTCTGGGAATGAATCTCAGGTCTTACATACGAGACATTGCGGACTTTCCGACGCCGGGCATTCTGTTCCGCGATATTACGCCGCTGCTTTCGGACGCTTCCGCGCTGAAATATGCGGTTGACCGCATGTTAGAGTTGTGTGAGCCACTGAGCTCCGATGTGATTGTGAGTGTGGAGGCCAGGGGTTTCCTGCTGGCGGCGCCGCTGGCGTATCGCATGGGCAAGCCGCTGGTTCCTGTGCGTAAGCAGGGCAAGTTGCCGTATAAGACGCACAGAGTCAGTTATCAGCTCGAATATGGCACGGACACGCTGGAGATACACCGCGACGGCATAGGCGAGGGTCAGCGCGCGCTGATTGTGGATGACTTGCTTGCGACGGGAGGCACTGTCGGCGCGACAGCGGAGTTGATACGCGAGTGTGGTGCGCAAGTCGCCGGTTACGCCTTCCTTATCGAGCTAGCCGAGCTGAACGGCAGGCAGAGTTTGTGCGGAGAAGAGGTGGTGTCGTTGATTACGTACGACTGAACTCCGGTGCGGAGAGCCTTTGACTGTAGAACGAGAGAGTGATTTGCCCGCCGCCGCCAATGCAGCGTGCGGGAACGAAAGGGAGTGTTCCAATGACAACGGACGTGAACATCGATGGTCTTATAGCGGAAGTGGAGAGGTTGTAGGCAAGGGCCTCGCCTATGTCAGGGCAAATGCCGAGTCCGAAGTAAAGATAGACATCTGGACTCCTCGCGAGGTGCTGTGCCACTGGATATACTGGCATGCCGCCACCGCCGAGGGCATGGAGACCGCGGCTTCGGGCGACGGCCCACACCACATCTATGCCGATACCGACGAGATGAACGCAAGAAGTGTTGGACGCAAGTCCGGCTGGACTGTGGAACGGCTCTCTGAGGAGATGGAAGGGCTTCAGTCGCGGCTGATTGCGGCGGCGCGTGCGATGCCCGATCCGAACGCCGTAGTTGTTGCCCGTGGCGATGGCAGCGGATCGACCGGAGTGGAGCGGCTGGAGACTATTGTCGGCCACTGGAATGCGCACCTGGTAGAGATGGCTGAAGCCGCGTCTGCTTAGAGTACGAGCAGCACTCTCATTGTAGTTGGCGTTGATGAACGGAGCAGGACCTGCTTCCCTTTAGCGATAGCTTGCAACTTGTTCTAGGAATTGGATTACTACGCCGCAGCATGTAATCAATTGTGCATGTGGCAGTGTGCATGTGGTTGTGTATGCGTTGCGCGGTATGAGTAGCGCCCTTTGCCTTTTTCGCTGTTTTTGATGGCAGAATTGACAAAGGGCGTGGCTGTTTGTCATCATGCGTTTCATAGGGGTATGCGGTTCACTGGGTAGGCTTGGGGACGCGGTGGCTTGGCTACCGAACCGTCGTCACCCCTTGATTCCGCACTGTACCAGAAATGCCGGCTACATTTGTAGTTGCGCTCCGAGGCTGCGTAGGGAGGAAATATGGTTTATCGCACCAATGTCAGTTACATAAGCCACTTCCTGCGCGAGGTGGATATGTTCAGCGGTCTGTCGGAGCGAAATCTGGACCGCATCGCATCGTTGTGCGAAGAGTACACTTTCGCGCCCGAAGAACATCTGGGCATGCAGGATGAGCACGGAACAAACCTGTATGTCATACGAGACGGGGAGATAAGGGTAAGCGTAGGTTCGCAGGATACGGGCGTGGTGGTGCGGACGGTGCGAGAGAAGGAAACATTTCCCGATTGCGGTGCTGATGGAGCCGCCTCTGCTGGTTACGACTACGCAGGCGGTTACAGAAGTCACTGCGTATGTATTACCGCGGGTCAGGCTGATGGAGCTGTGCGAGCTTGAGCCTGAAATCGGGATGCATATTTACAGGGCAAGCTGCGGTATCATAATGAACCGCTATCGCTACACACTCGCAATGCTATCGGACAATGTGGGACACCCGACGCGGCTGAATCCAGTTTGGCGCGGCACTGAGGTATAGGCGCGGAAACTAACATCGATGGACAGGGTGGGTAAGATTTTTCACCCCCATCCTAACCTTCCCCCATCGAGGGTGAAGGGACTCGTTCGGAGGGATTGAAGATGAATGGGAGGAACCTGACAGGAGGTGCATCATGACGGTTGTAGCGTTAGGCGGACTAACAGGCGCAGGCGCCAGGACGATGGGCCCCGCACTCGCAGGGAAAATGGAAGCCGACTACGTTGACCGGCTCATATTGACCAACGTGGCGCGGCATGTGGGCGCGACAGTAGAAGCGCTCCACCAGCGCGAAGAGCGCCCCCCAACACGCGGCGAACGCTTCACTCGCTTTCTGCAGAGGGTGCTTGAGCGCTCCGCCGTTACCGGAGCTGGCGGCGACCCGTACTTCGGGCCCGGCGTGGCGGCGTTCCTGACGGAAGAGTACGAAGACCTGCCTGAGCCGACGGTTACACGCGGGCACGAGCTTGAGGACGAGAAGTACATCGAAGGAATACAGCTCGCAATCAATGATATGGCGACTGATGAGAATATCGTTATGGTCGGGCGCGGCTGCTACTACATTCTGAAAGACGCGCCGAATGTGCTGCGGGTGGGCATAGAGGCTCACGTAGACGACCGTATTGCGACGATCGCCGAGCGTGAGCGTCTCAGCCTCGATGAAGCAGCCAGTACGGTGGCGGCGCGGGATCAGGCGCGGCTGTACTTCTTCAACCGCTTCTTCGACATAGAAGACCCGGACGCGCCGGAGTTCTTCCATTTCGTGATTAACACCAGCCTGATTGGGCAGGAGTATGGCATCAAGATGATTCTTGACGCCGCAGATGCCCTGCGCAGTGGGGACTTGAAATAGGGCTGCAGCCTGTTTCCTACGATAAGAAGATTCGCAAGGATGCGGTTGCGCTTATGGCGTCCTTTGGCTAGAATAGCGCACATACTTGAAGGGTGCTTCGCCTTTCTTGTATTTGTTGGCAATGCCGTTAGAGTGAATTGCCAACTTAGTGGGCGATTAGCCCTTGCTTGCGCAAGAGTGGGTTCCATAACGAGAGTACCCTAACCCTAGCGACAAGCGTCAATTAAATGGGCAGCGTTGGAGCGCCCATCAGGGAGGCGAGTCTATGGCACTATTAGAGATAAATGACCTCGCTACCTACTTCTTCACGCAGGAAGGCGTAGTGAAGGCGGTGGACGGCATCAGCTACGAGCTTGCAGAAGGCGAAGTGCTCGGAGTCGTGGGCGAGAGCGGCTGCGGCAAGAGCGTCAGCGCGCTTCGATTATGCGTCTCGTGGCGAACCCGCCGGGCAGAACCGTCGCAGGGGAGGTCATATTCGAGGGCGAAGACCTGCTTCAGATGGACGACTCGGAGATGCGCAGCATCCGGGGCAACAAGATAGCGATGGTCTTCCAGGAACCGATGACCTCGCTCAACCCTGTGCTGACGATAGGCCGCCAGCTCACCGAGACCCTTGAGTTGCATTTGAACATGAGCAAAGATCAATCGCATGATCGGGCAGCGGAATTGCTGCAACTTGTGGGCATTCCGGACGCAGAGAACCGGCTGAAGGATTATCCCCACCAGTTCAGCGGCGGCATGCGCCAGCGCGTGATGATCGCAATGGCGTTGAGCTGCAATCCACGCCTCATTATCGCGGACGAGCCAACGACCGCGCTGGATGTTACGATTCAGGCGCAGATACTGGAGCTGATGCAGGACCTTGCGGCGCAGTTCGGCACGGCGATGATTATCATCACGCACAACCTCGGCGTGGTCGCGCGTTACGCGCACCGCGTCATCGTGATGTACGCGGGCAAGATAATCGAAACAGGCGACGCACGAGAGATTTATGGAAATCCCAGCCATCCGTACACGATGGGATTGCTGGCTTCAGTGCCGCGACTGGACGAAACTACGCGTACCCGACTGGAGGCGATCGAGGGGTTGCCGCCAAGCCTCGTGAACATGCCGGCGGGCTGCTCCTTCGCGCCACGCTGCAGCTTCGCTTACGAGAGGTGTCTTGAAGAGGAGCCTGTGCTCGTTGATGTCATCGAGGGACATAACGCAGCCTGCTGGCGAGCGGCCGAACTGCAACAGACGATTCGCGCCTAGAATTGGGAGATTTTCGATGACAACACAGGCCAGAAATGCAAACGACAATGAAGTCCTGCTGGAAGTGCGGAATCTGAAGATGTACTTCCCTGTGACATCGGGTATCTTCTTCCAGCGCAAGGTTGCGGATATCAAGGCTGTTGACGATGTTAGCTTCTTCATACGCAGGGGCGAGACGCTAGGTCTGGTGGGCGAGAGTGGATGCGGGAAGACTACCACCGGACGCTGCATCTTGCAGCTTTACAAGCCGACCGAGGGCGATATCATCTTGAGGGCGAGGACCTGAACGCGCTGGAAGGCAGGGCGATGCGCGAGATGCGGCGCAAGGTGCAGGTCATCTTCCAGGACCCGTATGGCTCACTGAACCCGCGCATGACCTGCGGCGACATCGTGGGAGAGCCGCTCATCGTGCATAAGCTCACCTCGTCCAAGCAGGAGTACCGCGACCGCGTTACCGAACTCTTGCAGACGGTAGGACTCAATCCGTATATGGCGGACCGCTACCCACACGAATTCAGCGGCGGGCAGCGCCAGCGCATCGGCATAGCGCGCGCGCTGGCGGTCAACCCTACTTTCATCGTTTGCGACGAGCCAGTCTCCGCGTTGGATGTGTCCATTCAGGCGCAGGTAATCAACCTGCTGGAAGACCTGCAAGACCAGTTCGGTCTGACATACCTGTTCATCGCGCACGACCTGTCCGTGGTGCGGCATATCAGCGACCGCATCGCGGTGATGTATCTCGGACATATAGTCGAGATTGCCGACCGCAACGAGTTGTACCAGAATCCGCTGCACCCGTATACGAGGGCACTTCTCTCGGCGGTGCCGATTCCGGATCCGGTCGTGGAGCAGCATCGCGAGCGCATCATCCTGACGGGTGACGTGCCCAGCCCGATGAACCCTCCTCCCGGCTGCGTATTCCACACGCGCTGCCCGGACATGATCGGCGACTGCCAGCTCGAAGTGCCGCGGCTGCGAGAGGTGTTGCCCGACCACTGGGTATCCTGCATCCGCGTGGAAGGCTACGATACGGCGCCGTCGCTTTAGCCCACAATACACATAGTCATCATAAGGGGGCACTCAGCTGAGTGCCCCCTTATTCTTTGTCCTGCCATATTCATTTCATCCATGATGGCCCTCGTCATAATGTGGTACATTATCCTCACTATGATGGGAGGATACGCTTATGCTTGAATATAAACCTAATATGGTTCTGTCCAACGAAGAGTTCAGGGTTGTGGGTTCGCGGCCTGTACGCCATGACGGCGTGGACAAGGTTACGGGACGCGCGCGCTACGCCGCCGACACCGCGATGCCGGGCTTGCTTTATGGAAAGATTGTGCGCAGCCCGCATGCTCACGCACGCATTCGGAGCATCGACGCGAGCCGCGCGCTTGCACTGCCGGGCGTGTATGCGGTGGTTACGGCTGAGGATTTCCCGGAGGCGTCCGCCGAGTTTGCGGACCAGGAAGAGGGCGCGGCGGTCAATTACGGCTTCTTCAGCCGCAACATTATGGCGCGAGAGAAGGGGCTGTATATGGGCCATGCGGTCGCAGCAGTGGCGGCGACAACCCAGCATCTTGCAGAGGAAGCGGCGGAACTCATTGATGTGGACTACGAGGTGCTGAAGCCGGTGTTAACCGCCGATGACGCGATGGCTGACGACGCGCCCATCCTGCACGAGCGTCTGCTCACGATGGCAAGTCCCGCATTCCGCTCGGGCGGCTACGGCGACAGCGACGAGCAGACCAATGTCGCCAACCACTTTGTCTTTGACGACGGCGATGTGGAGCAAGGCTTCGCGGAAGCGGATGTCATTGTGGAGCGCGAGTTCCACACGAAGGCGGTGCATCAGGGCTACATCGAACCTCACTCCGCCACAGCGTTCTGGAACGGCGACGGCAAGCTGACCGTCTGGTGCAGCACTCAGCAGCTTTTCGCCGTGCGCGATCACATCTCCGCTGTGCTCAACATCCCCCTGTCGAATGTGCAAGTCATACCGATGGAGATTGGTGGCGGATTCGGAGGCAAGGGCATGGGCGGGATGTACCTGGAGCCTGTTGTATCTTTGCTGTCGCGCAAGACAGGTAAGCCCGTGAAACTCGCCATGAGCCGTAAGGAAGTGTTCGAGGGTTCCGGCCCGACATCGGCGGCGCACATCACGGTAAAGATGGGCGCCACGAAGGACGGCAGGCTTACGGCTGCGTCCGCATCGCTCGTCTATGAGGCAGGGGGCGTTCCCCGGCTCGCCCGTGCCTTCCGGCTGCCGCACGATGCTCGCGCCGTATGTCATTCCAAACGCGCATGTCGAAGGCTTCGATGTTGTCGTGAACACTCAGAAGTCGGCTGCCTACCGCGCTCCCGGTTCACCGGTAGCGGCATACGCGGCAGAGTCGGTCGTGGATGAACTTGCCAACAAGCTTGGCATCGACCCTATCGAGTTCCGCCTGCTGAACGCGGCCAAAGAGGGCACGCGCCAGCCCACGGGTCCCGTATTCAGGCGCATCGGCAATGTGGAAATGCTGGAGGCGGCGCGTGACCACGACCACTATCAGACGCCAATCGAGGGCAAATTCAGAGGCAGAGGCGTCGCGAGCGGCGCGTGGTTTAACGGCAGTGGACCGGCAAGCGCTGTCGCGAGCGTCAATCCGGACGGCTCGGTCAGCCTCATCGAAGGTTCGCCGGACATCGGCGGAAGCCGCGCGGTGATGGCGATCCATGTCGCCGAAGTGCTGGGCATCAACGTTGAGGATGTGAAGCCCGCCGTAGTGGATACCGACTCTGTTGGCTACTGCTCAGGCGCGGGCGGCAGCGGTGTTACCTTCAAGACGGGCAGGGCGTGCTACGAGGCGGCGCAGGATGTGAAGCGCCAGATGATCGAGCGCGCGGCGCGCATCTGGGACATAAACGCCGACGATGTGGAGTACGATGCGAACGACGCGGTGCTGCGCCACAAGCAGGACAGCGAACTTTCGATGACTTTCCCCGGACTCGCGCGTCAGCTCAACGGCACGGGCGGTCCGATAGTGGGACGTGCGACCGTGAATCCAGGCGGCGTTGGAAATGCCTTTGCGATGCACATCGTGGATGTGGAGGTTGACCCTGAGACCGGCAAGGTGGACATACTGCGGTACACGGCATTGCAGGATGTGGGGAAGGCAATGCACCCAAGCTACGTGGAGGGGCAGATGCAAGGCGGCGCGGTGCAGGGCATCGGCTGGGCGCTGAACGAAGAGTACTACTTCGACGATGACGGACGCATGTTGAATTCGTCATTCCTCGACTACCGCATGCCGGTGTCGCTTGATGTTCCCATGATAGACACGGTGATCATCGAAGTCGCCAATCCAGGGCATCCGTATGGGGTGCGCGGCGTTGGCGAGGCCTGCATCGTGCCGCCGATGGCAGCAATTTCGAACGCAATCAGTAACGCGATAGGCGTGCGAATGACTGAGCTGCCGATGTCGCCGGCGAAGGTTGTCGCTGCGCTGTCGAAGAAAGGCGCATAGCTTTATTGCGATAAGTTGCCCTTCGACAGGCTCAGGGCGGATGGATTTGTTGTTAAATCCAGTTTGTCATGAGCCTGTCGAATATCATTTGTGAATCTAATCGGACCCGGAATAGGAACATACTCTTAAGGATTTGCATGAATGAAATACTATAGTCTGATTGGCGTGGACGGCGGCACCAGCTTGGCGGTGGAGGCGCGCGAAGGCGTGCTTGCCGACCTGACATCGGTGCATCATGACTTGGAGGCGCTTGAGGATCTTGCGCTGGCTTCGACGCTGTCCGGCCAGAGCATTGACGCGCTTGCGCAGCGAATCATGGACGGTGGCAACCCAGAGCAACACAGCCTCGCTGAGATTATGAGCGGCGAGAGTGATGTCGTGCTTGACATGCCCTTCGAGCCTCCAGAGGTCTGGGCGGCTGGCGTTACCTACAAGACGAGCGAAATGGAACGCCGCAGGGAGAGCGGCACTCCGGATGTATATTCGATGGTGTATAGCGCTCCGAGGCCCGAAGTATTCTTCAAGGCGACACCCGAGCGCTGCGTCGGCCCGTTTGACTCGGTGGGCATACGCGAGGACTCGGACTGGAATGTACCAGAGCCGGAGCTTGCCTTCGTGCTGTACGGTGGCGCGATAGTCGGCTACACAATCGGGAACGATATGAGCAGTCGCCAGATCGAGGGCGAGAACCCGCTGTACCTGCCTCAGGCGAAGGTTTTCAACCGCTGCTGCTCCATTGGGCCGTGCTTCGTGACGGCGGAGTCGCTCGACGACCCACACGGCCTCGATGTGACCTGCACTATCACGCGCGCCGGCGAAGAGGTGTTCAGCGGCAGCACGAACACGTCGCAGATGGCGCGAACATGTCAGGAACTTGCCGACTGGCTGCAAAAACACAACGATGTGCCGAATATGACCGCAGTATTGACAGGCACATCCATTGTTCCGCCGCCAGATTTCACGCTCCAGGAAGGCGACAGAGTGAGCATGACGATACAGGGCATCGGCACGCTGGTGAACGATGTCGTAGTGGTGTAGTCGGTGGTGTGGCAACCGCGCAAGCTGGAGCTAGCCATCGGGTCAATTCCGGCGAGTTGAAGGAGTCAATACTATGGCTGTGGAAGAGTTGAAGTCGAAGAACGACTGGGAAGAGCACTTAGAGAATGTGAAGAATATGACGCTTGAGCAGAAAAGAGAGCGTCTGGCAAGCATGCTTGAGGAAGGACAACGACTAGCAGATAGGCTTCTAGGATGGCATGGGGAACCAACTATGACTCGCGATGAGGTCAGGGAGATGATGGCACGAAAGTACCCCGGGCTGTCTTTGAGTGACCAGATCATTGAGGATAGAGAGTCACGATTCTAATTGGCATTCTTCTACCTGGACGCTTCAGCAATTGCGAAATTGTATCTTCCAAACGAGCAAGGGGTCGAGTTTGTGGTTCAACTTCTTGATCTGCGTTCGTCAACCGACATATTCGCCACTTCCGCTTTATCCGTCGTTGAGGTGAAATCAGCCATAACTCGCAGAATAGGCAGTCCCTCTGACAAAGCACCTCTTCTAGCAGCGTATGATAGAGACCTCCGGGAGATATTCGATCTCATATCTATAAGAGACGATATAATCATAGGTGCAAGTTCAGTTGCAGAACGTTACGGACTCCGCGCCGGCGATGCAATCCATCTGGCCACTGCACTGGACATTGCTGCAACTGCCGATGAAGCACAAGTATTCATGGTCTCCAGCGACACCGAACTGCTCGAAGCCTCGGACGTTGCTGGCATCGGCGCGCTCGACCCGCAGTCGGAAAATGCCACGGCCAGCCTGCGCCAAATCAGAGAATAGCAAGCCCGCCGCGTTGACACATCCACAGGCCAATAGTAACCTCTGCCCTAATACACCAAGGATTTAGACTGCGCAGATTGCCGACAGGAGAATAGAAGCATGTGCACATACGTGATACAGAAATCGGAGATAACGGGCAGCGGTAAGGGGACGCCGGGCTGGATTCCGATAACGGAGGCTCGGGTCTATTACGACCACCCGTACCACATGACGACCGACCATACGTTGAACATCGACTTCGTGAACCCTGACCAGGGGCTTGGCGCGCGCGTAGCGGTCGAGCTGACGGCAGAGTCGGCGCGCGCGCTTGTGGACGACATTCTCGCCGCTTTGGAAGAGGGCAACGCAGCGCACGCCGCAGACTAAAGGCTTTCGTTATCGTCATAAATCCCCTTGCCTCAGGCAAGGGGATTTTCAGTTTTGCATTACCGGGTTGGGGAGTCCTCTGAAATCAGGGTTGCAAAGACGGAGGAACTTATGTAAAGTTGCGCCCAATAGAGTGTAGGCAAGGCTTCCTAGAGGCCTTCGCAGAGAAATTATCTCTGTTGAATGGCCGTGAGCAAATACACTAGACTGTTGGCCGGAAAAAGAACTTGAGACAAGAATTAAGAAGGAGACTTGGGACATAAGCAGATAGATTCGGAGGGGACGCGCATGCTAAACCTGTCAATTCGTCGAAGTGCTACTTTCCTAACGCTACTCCTATTGCCTGCGCTTGTGCTGGCTGTGGCCTGTTCGAGCGCAGAACCGGAGGCCGAAGCGCCTGCAGCGCCTGCCGCTGCGGCTACCCAGCCACCTGCTCCCACGACTCCTCCTGCTGCGCCTGCCCAGGCGGCCCCTACCGCGGCTCCTGAGGCGATGGCAGATATCGCACCGCCCAGAGCAGCGGACTCGAACGCGCAGACGGGTGGTGTCCTGAATGTGGCGTACTTCCGCAAGGCTTCCAGCCCTGACGGATACCAGGCTGGCGGAACCTTCGACCGCATGTACTTCTTCACGGGCAACGAGGTGCTGGTCGCTATCGGCAAGGACAGCATTTACGATCCCGCCGAGTCTCTCGCGTATTCGTTCGAGGTCGAGGACGGCGGCAGCCGCGTGCGATTCAACCTCCGCGAAGGCGTGCAATTGCAGGGAGGCTTCGGAGAGATGACCTCCGAGGATGTCTCATCAAGCCTGAACCGCTGGTTCGATAAAGCGTCTGGGTGCAGGGGTTGCCCGAGCACCTTCCGTTCCGTAACTGAGATCAAGACCATCGACGACTACACCGTCGATGTGGTGATGGACCCGCCGGATGCGAACTTAGTAGTCAAGATGTTCGACAGGGGCAGCATCGTTCACTCCAAAGAGAACTGGGAAGTCCAGGGAGCCGACGACCACAAGAGCAACCCCATCTCAACGGGACCGTACAAGCTCGCTCTTTGGGATGTGGGCGTGACGCAGAACTGGGTGAAGCATCCCGACTGGTGGCAGCGTGAGCCATACGCGGACGAGGTGAACGTCCAGATTATCTCGGAGACACGCACGCGGCTGGCTGCCCTCCAGACAGGTGAGGTGAATGTGTCATGGCTCCAGGCGGAGCAGATTCCCACCGCACAGAAGGACGACAACATTGATGTTTGGGACTTCACCGGTGTTGGCTGGGACGGCTGGGTGTGGAACCACGGGCTTACGCCTTTGGACGACCTGCGCCTGAGGCGCGCACTCATCAAGTCGGTGGACAGGACCGCGCTGAATCACATCCATCTACCTGGACACGTTGCGCGACAGCCAGGCGCACACTTTCCCCCCCGAGTCGCCTTTCGGCATAGACGCCAAGGACCTCTGGGAAGGCGAGCACCTGCGGTATGATCTCGACGAGGCTAAGGCGCTGGTCGAGGCCGTGGCGCAGGACAAGGGCTGGAACTGCCGCTGCAACTCAGCGGTGTCTGTGAGCGCCGCCCGGACCGCCAGCAGTTCTGCGAGTTCCTGCAGGGCTCGTGGGCTGAGATTGGCGTGGAGTTCGAGTTCCAGATAGTGTCCAACGCATCCGAGCGCTCAGATGTGATGGAGCAGTGCCAGACACATGTGACGCAGACCGGCTCGGGTATGCTGCTACCGTGGTACATGGAAGGCTCGCTGCACTCAAGCTCAAACGGTAACTATCCTGCCAAGATATGTAAGGATCAGGGTTCCGCCTGGATGCTGACGGGCAGGGTTTGCAGGACCAGCTGGATATGCTGTTCGCAGAGGCGTCCCAGAGCTTCGACAGCGCGGTGCAGATAGACAAGTACAAGCAGATTCAGCGCATTGCGCTGGAGAACCTATACACGTACATCCCGGCGATGCTGCGCGTGAACTATGTCGGCTGCCATACGCCGACCACGGGCGGCTGCGAGACGAACCCGATGCGCGGCGACGGCTTCGTGCGCAACGGCGACTTCTGGTTAAAGCAATAGAGAGCTAAACAGCGGTCAGTCATCAGTAGTCAACCTCTATATTTCGTAGAGGTGGTTGCTGGAGGCTGACCGCCTTTCGTTAGAGGGGCTGGAAGATGCAGCGTTACATGCTGCGCAGAATCATCAACCTAATTCCGGTGTTGGTGCTCATCAGTATCGTGGTGTTCTCCACGGTCAGGGTCTTGCCGGGCGACCCCGCGCGCCTGCTTGCCGCCATCGATGAGACGGGCTTCGTTGATCCCGAAGTGCTCGCCGCGGTAGAGAAACGCTACGGTCTGGACAAGCCTGTCGTCACGCAGTACTTCGAATGGGTCTGGGGCGTAATGCGTGGCGACTGGGGCGTGTCGCTTATAAGCAGTCAGGATGTATTCCCGCAGATACGCAGCCGCCTGAGCTTCACGGCGCAGCTTGCCGGGCTGTCGTGGCTGCTCTCGATGGCAATAGGCATTCCGATGGGAGTAATATCGGCGCTCAAACGTAACTCCATACGAGACATTGCCGTGACGAGCTTCGCGGTGTCGGGCATTGCCCTGCCCAACTTCTGGCTGGGCATGCTGATGATTATCTTCTTCGGCGTGTGGTTAGGCTGGCTGCCAACGGGCGGCTACACCAGCTTCCAGGACAGTCCGATTGACTGGGCGCGCAAGATGATTTTGCCCACGATAACGCTTGGCACGGCGTTATCGGCGGTCACGATGCGGCAGATGCGCGCCGCTTTGCTTGAGGTAATGCGCGAGGACTACATTCGCACGGCGCGCGCGAAGGGTTTGATGGAGAGCAGGGTCGTGCTGCTGCACGCGATGAAAAACTCGCTGCTGCCGGTCATTACGCTGTCCACATTGCAGCTCGGAACGCTGGTCGGCGGAACAGTGGTGACGGAGACAGTCTTCTTCCTGCCTGGCATCGGAAAGTTCATCGTGGACGCGGTAATAGCGAAAGACTTCCTCGTGGTGCAGATGGGGCTGATGATTCTGACGCTGGGAGTGCTGGTAGCCAATCTGATCGCAGACGTGTCTTACGCATTTTTGGATCCGCGCATACGATTCGACTGACTTTTCACTTTCACACTTTCTGATTGGAGTAATGAGTTAGCTGGGTAGGAGAGCATGTTCAATGGTAGGGACAGTTAATTTCACCCCCATCCTAACCTTCCCCCATCAAGGAGGAAGGGACAAAGTGAACTTCTGTAATGCTCACCCCTTAGTTTGTGAATAGGCGGACGTGTGGCAGGCTGTGATTTATGAGAGAACAAGAACTGGTTGAATCGACAGAAAACAGCTTGCCGAGCAGGAGCTGAACTGGGTCCGTAAGAGTCGCTTACTGCAGACGCTGAGGGAGTTGGTGAGTGTGCGCCTCGCCAAGTTCGGGCTGGTGGTGCTTGGGATAGCCGTGATCGCGGCCGTGTTTTCGCCGCTTCTGTCGGTGCATGACCCTATCAAGATAAACCCGCGCGACAGCCTGCAATCGCCTGGCTCCAAATACTGGCTCGGGGCGGACAGGCTTGGGCGCGACCAGTTGGCACGGCTCATCTACGGCGCGCGCGTCTCGCTGATCATCGGCGGCGCGGGAGTTGGTATAGCGGTCGTGGCGGGCATCACCATCGGGACGATTTCCGGCTGGGCAGGTAGGTGGACGGATGAGGTGCTGATGCGGATTATGGACGCGCTCGCCGCATTTCCAAACATAATATTCGCGCTCGTGCTGGTTGCCGTCACGGGCGGCGCAATGCGCAACATCATCCTGGTGATCGGGCTTGTGTTCACGCCTGCGGTCGCGCGCCTCATACGGGCGCAGGTGCTGTCCGTGAAGGAGCGCGACTATGTGATAGCCGCCGTCGCGCTGGGTGCAAGTCCGGCTCGCATCATATCCTCGCACCTGATACCGAACAGCCTCGCGCCCGTGATAGTGCAGGCTTCGATAGCGTTCGGCGCGGCGATACTGCTTGAAGCGTCGCTGAGCTTCCTCGGCGTTGGCGTGAAGCCGCCCACACCCACATGGGGCGGTATGCTGCGTCATGCCTTCGAGGTGGTTGATCTAGCGCCTTGGCTCACATTTACGCCGGGCGCAACTATATTCCTGGTGGTGTTAGCCTTCAACTTCGTGGGCGACGCGCTGCGCGACACGCTCGATCCGCGTCTCAGGGGTGCGAGGTAACTGGGGTCGGGCGACCGATGTCCTAAGCCCCTGTCGACACTTCCGTTCCGTTCTACTCTAAGACATCGCCCTTTGACGTATCTGTTGAATGAGTGCCTTTGGCTAGGTTGTGTTGACATTTCGAAGTTATCTCTCATTAATTCTGCCATTTCGAGTGAAGCGAGAAATCGAGAATCGGATATTGCCGCCTGTACAACGATTTAAGATTCTTCACTCCGCTGCGCTGCGCTCAGAATGACAAAGGATGAAGGCGCTGCGTTCAGAATGACAGAATAAACCTACATTTCAGTTCTAAAACGCTTTGTGTATCAAATGTCAACGGAGCCTAGTATCAACATCTATCCATGCACGCCACGAATTTGAGGTAGTGTCGAAGCTGTAGATGCGCGGGACATCATCGTCAGTAATGGTCATGAGGCGCTCGTCGTCAGAGCCACAATCAACTGAGTTTTCGAAGCAGGCTGTGAATGTCTCGTCAACCTCGGGGTAGCGGTCCGGACCACCAAAGTGCAAGGGATGGATGGGGGATGGTATGATTATGGGCAGAAATTGAAGTATCCAATTTGACAGGAGGACTGGCAGACAATGACGAAGTATGCGCGGTATGAGCATGAGGGCGGCGTCTCTTACGGGATCGTGGAGGGGGACGATGTGCATGAGATTTCGGCGGCGCCATACGAGGAGTACGAGCGGACTGGTGAGTCGGCGGCGCTGTCGGATGTGAGGCTGCTTGCGCCGGTGATGCCGGGGAAGATTATCGCTATCGGACGGAACTATGTGAGCCACCTAGCGCATTCGGCTTCACTGGTGGGCGGCGACATAGAGCTGCCGAAGGTGCCGGAGCCGTTCTTCAAGACGCCTTCGTCGGTGGTGGGGCCCAACGACCCTATCGTGATTCCGCGAGAGGCGATCGAAGAGGGTGTGCTGGTGGAGGAAGAGGCGGAGCTTACACTGGTTATCGGTAAACAGTGCCGGCGGGCGACACAAGAGAATGCGCTGGATTTCGTGCTGGGTGTTACATGCGGTAATGATGTGAGCGCGCGAAACTGGCAGCGCGGCGACCTGTCGTGGTGGCGGGCGAAGTCGAGCGATACTTTCAGCCCGATAGGGCCTTATATCGTGACGGGGCTTGATCCGGACAACCTGCTGCTGACGGGGCGGATAAACGGCGAGGTTATTCAGCAGTCGGGTACGGATGACCTGGCGCACAACTGCCGACGCATCATCGAGTTCGTGAGCAGCGTGCTTACTCTGGAGCCGGGCGATGTGATTATGACTGGGACGCCGGGCGAGCCGGGCGAGATTAAGCGCGGCGATGTGGTGGAGGTCGAGCTTGAGGGCGTTGGTGTGCTGAGCAACCCGGTGATTGCAGAGGAGTAGGGGACGGAACTAACATGATGGGAGGATGGGGGGATTTGGGTGTGTGTCGTAGTTGACAATGAGGGGGTCCATTGCTACCCTAATGGCTGGCTGGGAGGACCGCGAAGGCCTACTGGTTCGCTAGAGATTTTCTCTGCTCGGCCGCAAATAAATGATTGGGTGTGTTTATCGGCTTGAATTAGATGTATCTATTGTACTTGGATGAATCAGGGACTCAGTCGAGCGCCCGCCATTTTATTTTGGCGGGCGTTGCTGTTCATGAAAGCAACATTTACTGGGCAAAAGAGCAACTTAACAGATTGCAAGGAAAACACTTTCCTAGTAATGAAGGACCTGTTCGATTTCACGCAGCACCTTTGAGAACAAAGGATGGCGATAGAGTTGAAGCTCCATTTGACGAGCTGACTGCACAAATGCGTTCGCAGTTATTGGATGAATTGTACCAGGTCGCTAATGAAATATATGGAACTTTCTTTGCGGTCGTAATAGAGAAAGATTACCTCAGTGAATCACAAGACCCTTACGAACGCGCCCTTGAAGAGATTCTATCTCGCTTCGACCACTTCATTGGACGGATGTACAATGAACGCAATGAAAGAGATAGAGGGCTGACTGTCATTGCAGATTCCAGCTATCGTGAACGGTTGGAGTGGTTTGCTCACCAACTAACATCTGAAGGAACTCGTTGGGGTGAATTGCACGCCATAGATGACATACCATTTTTCACGCTGTCACGGAACAGTCGATTGTTGCAAATTGCGGACTGATTGCGAACACAGTTTATGGCAGGTATGAAGCCAGCCATGCAAGGGAGTTCGACCGTATGCTTCCCAAGTTTGATCAGGATGATTTGGGCAGAATCCATGGGCTAGTTCATTTCTGCAAAGATAGAAATCTCTGCTACCTGCCCTGCTGTCTCTCCAGAAGAACTCCCTTAAGTTAGTCCAGCAGACAGTCCCTCCTCTCCTCCACTGGTTCCCCTCTCTAAGCGTTATTAGTTGTTATCCCAGGACGTTGCCGATGGTGAGCCAGTAGAAGACGATGTATGTGCCGGCGATGAGCATCAGCCATGTGCCTACGGACTGCATGTAGGGCATTACTTTGCGCATTCCGCCGACCATCGCGCCCTTGAACAGCGCCATGCCGAGTGTGAGTGTGATGATGACGGTTCCCATTCCGACGGCGTAGAGGATGAATTGGGCGAATGCTGTCCAGATGCTTGCGGCTGCGAAGGATGAGCCGACTACGGCGAGAAATATGGGCAGCGTGCAGCTAAGGGATGCTAGTCCGTATGCCAGCCCGAAGATGAAGTAACCGCGTATATTTGCCTGTCCGGGGTTGCCGAACTTTTCTGCCATCTGCTGGGCGAGCGCGGTGTAGAGCTTGCCGCCGCCGAGCAGCCAGGCGCCTGCAATGGTTAGCAGGATGCCTACACCGAGTCCGATCCAGGGGAGGACGCTGCCGACTACGGAGCGTGCGCCGAGTCCGATGACTGCGCCTGCGGCTGCGAAGAGCAGGATGAAGCCGACGGTCACGGAGCCGCCGATGAGGAGTGCTTTGCCAATGTGTGCGATGAAGGATGGGTTGTCTTCGTCGCCGACGCCGAGGTAGAGGCCCATGTATGCTGGTAGCATCGCGAAGCCGCAGGGGTTGAATGCGGCAGCGAGTCCCGCGCCGAATGCGAAGCCGAGCGGGGCGATGACGCTGAGGCCGCCGAGCTGCCGCGCCGCGCCGCCGGAGAGGGATTCGACGAAGAAGTTGATGCCGTCAATGTCGCTCTCGCCGCGCACGATGAGGGCGCCGATGACTGCGATCGCGAGCGCGATGGTCGCCGCGGCTATGGGCAGGATGACGGTGCGGGCGAATCCTGGTGAGGTCTGTGCTTCGGTGTATGTGGTGCTCTCGTTCATGTGCTGTCCTCGCGGCGTGTCGGTTATTTGGTAATTCGGTGCATCAGTCGGTGCATCAGTATGTATTGCGATTGTCATAGTATCGTATTCATGGCTTTCATTATATTGGATGCAAGACGGGCAAATGGGATTTGCGGTTGTCAGTGGCTGGCTGGATGGCATACGATAAGCGGGTTAAACAGGATAGGGATTGTCGGGAATCGAGGGCTTATGACGACGAATTCACTGCATAGAGCTACTGAGGATATCGGGATGGAGGATGTGGAACTGATGCCGCTGGCACAAAAGGAGCTGCCGTTGCGGTTCGAGAACTATCAACCGTCTCGGGAGTCCGCGCTGGACAACGAAACGATGGCGATGCACGGGTTCCCAGGGAGCGACGCAGGACGCTTTCGCGGCGTGGGACGCATCGGGGGCTATATGCGCGAGTTCGTATCGGTGGTGCCGTCGTTCGGGACGGACGGGGTGGACTTCATGGTTGCGACCGTGGCGCACCTGTTCGAGACACCAGGCGCTGTGCGTAACTGGATGCACGATGTGTTTCTGAAGGATTTCGAGACGAATGTGGGCTTGGACATCGGGGAGAGGCAGATGCTCCTCGGCGTGGAGCGGCTGGAGCCGGACGGATTTTTCGATGAGGCGGTCGCGCTGAAGGCGCTGCACAACGACAACGACAGGCTGATTTCAGTTACAATCGTGGACTTTCGGGTGGGTCGCGTGCTGGGTGTGGCGTTCGTGGGGACGCTTGGAGACCATGTGCGGCTGGATGAAGCTACGGAGCTTGCGGTGGCGTTGGAGCAGCGAATCGTGAGCGTAGCGCTGGGGTAGGGAGCGCTCACTACACAGGGCTGTCTTTCAATATATGGGCACAGAAAATTTGAAGTGAAAGTTGCGTTTTGAATGGCAGTGTATTTTTTGAAATGGGTTCAAAAGGGTTGACACTTTTGGCGGCGTTGTGATAGTTTTCACCAGTGTTTTCTATGGTATGCGTTGTACCCAAAGGCTACATGGATTTCCGCTCTCTGCTCCAAGGCGGGGCCTTGCTTCGCTGGAGTAACGAGATAGGCGGCAGGAGTCCCACAGGGTAGGGCGCAGGAGATTTCATCAGGGTCTTCTTCCGTAGGGAGAAGGCGCATTGCAGAGGCAAGCATTCTATGGAACCAGCCCCTCTTGGCGCGCTTCAATGGAGCGAACTGGGCAGTATGCTGTTCGCGCTGTGGATGGTGGTTATATTCATAGTGCTGTTCGCGGCGAATATGCTTGTGGGTCATAATCTGCTTCCGTCGTTCATCGCGTCGGGGCATGTGCCCGAGTCACTTCAGAAGGCGCGGCTACTTTTTTATGCGTTTGCGATCACGTGCTTCGCGATTGCGATGTATTTTCTCTACAGCACGATTGTGCAGGGGGATGTGCTGCGCAGTTTCTGGGCGGACTATTGGATATAATCTGACATTGATTTACGGGACGCGGGCGACATACACCTCCATCCCAACCTTCCACTCTGATGTGGAAGGAGCTAAAGATAGGTTAGTTTGATTTGATACCAGGCGATTTTCAGATCTCCAAGCCGACGCGGAAGCAGCTTATCAAGCATGGTACGCTGGGCGTTATAACACTAGCGTTTCTAGTTGTTGCGGCGTTGGCTCTGACTTTTGTAATATCGGCGTGGCTGGGCAGGCCGGTGGTCTTCGGGTATTCCGAGGGTCCGGACCAGCCGATCGCGTTCCCGCATCCCACACATGTCGAAGACCTTGGGATGGACTGCACTTTCTGTCATCGCAATGTTACCGAGGGCGCGGCGGCGACGATACCATCGGCCGGACTGTGCCTGACCTGTCACCAGGTTGTGGGCGACGACCTGCCGGAGGTAGAGAAGCTGCGCGAGATGGTAGCGGAGAACGGGCGCCCGATAGACTGGGTGCGGGTGCACAGAGTTCCGGACCATGTGCATTTCGTACATGAGGCGCATATCAGATTCTTCTCGGAGCGGGACGGCATCGCGGAGACGGCAGTGTGCGCTACTTGTCATGGCGATGTAGGGTCGATGGAAAAAGTTGAGCAGGTACGCGCGCTGAAGATGGGCGACTGCGTGAATTGCCACCGGGATAACGGAGCGCCCACAGACTGCACGACTTGCCACTATTAAGGTTCGTTGCAGACTGATAAGGTTCGTTGCAGACTGAATTCCTGCATTCACAGGAATGACGAAGTAAAGACTCAGAAAACACGAAGGAACAATCGGCACTTCTGAAGGCTGACAAGAGAAGATGGCTTTAACGCGAAGACAATTCCTTACACTTGCCGGGGGGTCGGCGGCTGGAGCAATACTGTTCCAGGCGTGCGGCGTTCCGGAGGATGAGCTTCTGGTGCAGGCGCCGGTAGAGATGCCGGAGGACCTGGTAACAGGGCGCGACAACTGGTATGCAACGCTTTGCCGTCAGTGCGCGACGAGCGAGGGCATCGTGGTGCGTGTAATGGAGGGTCGCGCGAAGAAGGTCGAGGGGAACGTCGATTATCCGATAAACCGCGGGGCGCACAGCGCACGCTGCGAGGGCGGCTTGCAAGCGCTGTACCATCCCGACAGGATACGCGGACCGATGGTGCGCGTGGGCGAGCGTGGCGCAAAGCAGTTCCGCGAGGTGAGCTGGGAGGATGCGATTGGGCGTCTGACATTTGCGCTTGAGAATATCAAGTCGAATGGGCGCGAATCGTCGGTCGTGCTGGCGACGGATCCCATCAACGCGCATCTCGACATGGTGGTGGACGCATTCACTTCGGCTTACGGCGCGAGGCGAATGACATACCAGCCACTGGAGCAGACTACGGTCAAGGCGGCGATTCGGCAGGTGTTCGGTCAGGATGCGATGCCGGACTTCGATATTGCGAACGCTTCTGCGGTTCTCTCTTTCGGGCGCGGACTTCCTTAATACTTGGGTGTCGCCGGTGCGGTATGGGCGCGGCTACGGCGAATTCCGCGATGCCGACCATGACAGAGGCACATTCATTCATGTAGATTCGCGCTTCTCGATGAGCGGAGCGAATGCGGATCACTGGGTGTATGTGAAGCCGGGCATGGAGGGCGTTCTTGCGCTGAGCATCGCGCAGGTCATCATCGCAGACGGACTGGCTGATGCTGGCGCGGCGGATGCGCTGACGGCGGGCTTCGACATCAACGCGTTCTCGCCCGAGGCGGTTGCATCAAGCACGGGTGTGAGCGCGGAGAAGATTCGCACGGTGGCGCACGACTTTGCGAACCATCGTCCTGCGGTTGCTTTCGGCGGAGGGTCGGCGGCGGCGCACACGAACGGATTGTTCAATCTTGCGGCAATCTATTCACTGAACTATCTCGTGGGCAGTGTGAATAGTGAAGGCGGGGTTGTGTTCAATCCCGGCGCTGCGATAAGCGAGCTTTCCGCTGCGAAGAGCGGTTCTCCGTTCTCCGAGTGGCACCGATTGGCAGACGAGATGTCTCGCGGCGAGCTGCAGATGCTGATGGTGCGCGGTGTGGACCCTGTTTACGGTCTGCCGGACGCGGTCGGCTTCGAGCGCGCCGCCTACAATGTGCCTTACATCGTGAGTTTCTCGGATGTGTTGGACGACACGACTGCGATTGCAGACCTGGTACTGCCACAGCACAACTACCTAGAAGACTGGGGCAGTGATGTGCCGGACCCGGCGCCGGGCTATCAGGTTATTGGATTCCAGCAGCCTGTGGTGAGGCCGTTCTTCGAGCCTCGCGGCGATCAACTCGGTACACGGGGCTTTGCGGATGTGCTTCTTGCGACGGCTCAAGGTCTTGAAATTGACCTCGGACTGCCGGGCGAGACATACCGAGAGATACTGCAAGACGGCGCGATGAAGCTGTACGAATCTGGCAACGGCTCGGTGAAAGCAGCGAATTTCAATGCATTCTGGCACGGCGTGCTTCAGCGTGGCGGCTGGTGGGATACATCGGCGCGCATGAACGGTGGAACGCCGACACCTTCGCGGCTGATGGACGCGGCAGAGCCTTCGTTCACGACGGGTGAGTTCTACCTGATTCCGTTCGAGTCCACGGGTCTGAGCGACGGCCGTGGTGCTGCATTGCCCTGGATGCAGGCGACGCCTGATCCCATTTCGACCGCTGTGTGGCGGACATGGGTGGAAATTAACCACAGGGTGGCCGAGGAGCGCGAGATAAGCGAGGGTGATGTTATCAGCATCGAGTCGCAGAACGGACGAATCGAGGCTCTGGCATATCCGAGCCCTGCGGTGCCGCCTGATACGGTGTGCGTACCTGTGGGTCAGGGACATGCGTCGGGCGGTCGGTACGCGGAACGCCGGGGGGCGAATGTGTATTCGATCCTGTCGCCGAATATCGACAGCGGCACAGGCGCGCTGGCATGGGCGTCAACAAAAGTGAATATCCAGAAGACGGGCGAGTGGATTCGCCTGCCGAAGTTCGAGAACACAGTTTCGGAGTTCCCGACAGACGAGCACCAGCATGTGATCAAGCTTACGCCGGTGGACGGCGATGGGGAGCACTAAACGGAATCTGACATCGATGGACAGGATGGGAAGGATTTTGATATCAACCCCGTCCGAGCCTTCCCCCGTCTAGGCGGAAGGGGCAGTGAATAGGCTCTAACCTTTCCTTGTCAAAGGGGGAATGGACTGATTGAGGAGCGAAGTATGGCGGATGTACAGTGGGGCATGGTGGTTGACATAGACAAGTGCACGGGCTGTCAAGCCTGCGTTGTCGCCTGCCAGTCCGAGAATAATGTGCCGATAAATGAGGAAGCGCACTTCAACCAGCGCCGCGCAATCGAGTGGATTCGCGTGGAGCGGTACTGGGAGGGCGAGTTCCCGGATGTAAAGGCGCGGTTCATACCGCTGTTCTGCCAGCAGTGCGGCGACGCGCCGTGCGAGCCGGTGTGTCCGGTGTATGCGACGTACCACAACAGCGAGGGACTGAATGTGCAGGTGTATAACCGCTGCATCGGGACAAGGTTCTGCGCGAACAACTGCCCGTACCAGGTGAGGTTCTTCAATTTCTGGGAGCCTGCGTGGCCTGAGACGCTGAAGAATCAGCTCAATCCTGATGTAACGGTTCGCAGCCGAGGCATCATGGAGAAGTGCACCTTCTGCGTACAGCGCATTCGTCGCAGTTCGCGGGAAGCAGACAAGGAAGGCGAGGAGCTTCAGGACGGGGACAGAGCACTCAACCCGGCGTGCGTGAATGCATGCCCGACCGAGGCGCTGATGTTCGGCAACCTGAACAATCCGGAGTCAAAGGTTGCGAAGAAGGCAGAAAAGGAACTGCGAGGGACGACACCTGCGCGTAAGGGCGGGCGTGGCTACCATCTGCTGGACGAGTTCGGGACGCACCCGAAGGTCGTTTATCTGAAGAAGTATGACAAGGACGCTGAGGAAGCGCATGGCTAGTTCTGATAGTCATAATAGCGCCGCTCAAAACGGCGCTGGCCATAATGGTCAACACGGGCCGCGCGAGGGGCTGTATGTGCCTTTCACGAATCAAGGCGATGTGGTGCGAGACCTGATAGGCAAGCATGACAAGCCCAGCGACAAGTGGTGGAGCGGTGTCGCGGCGGGCGCGATCTTGCTGGTGCTGGGCATCATCGGGTTCGCGATGCGGATGTCGGGAGATGTCAGCGACCGCATAGTTTGGGGCTACTTCGCGATGATGTTCGCGTTCGTGCTGACGACGGCGCAGGCAGCACCGATGGTGGCAATCGCGCCGCGTATCGCCAACGGCCACTGGCGGCGTCCGATCTCGCGCGCCGCTGAGATATGGACTGCGGTCGGGCTGTTCAACATGATTCTGCTCATCCCGATGCTGTGGATATTGCCGCCGCTGACGGATGGACGGCGCAGTCTGTGGTTCTGGGACGGCGAGGACCCGTTCTTCAGCAGGGTGCCGGTGTATTCGCCGCACATCTGGGCAACGCTTGCGATGCTAGGTCTGGTGGTTACAGGAGTAATGCTGCTGTGGCTTTCGGCGACACCGGACCTTGCGCTTATACGTGACAACGGACCTGACGGATGGCGCAAACGCTGGGCGACGAAACTGTCGAGGAACTGGATCGGAACGACGGCGCAATGGAATATGCTGCATCACAGAATGGGCATACTGGGCGCGTTCTACTTCATGATGCTGATATTCGTGCATTTCCTGATTTCGGTTGACTTCCTGATTGCGCTGGTGCCGGGCTGGATCGATGCGCTGTATCCGATTACGCATGCGGCGAACGCACTTCAGGCGGGCGTTGCAACAGTCATCCTGACTATGATTGTGCTGCGGCAGTGGGGCGGATACAAGGACTACATCACACTGGAGCAGTTCTGGGGCGTTAGCAAGCTGCTGTTCGCGCTGTCATTGCTGTGGTTCTGGTTCTGGTTCTCCAGCTTCAATGTGCTGTGGTACGGCAAGAAGCCGAATGAACTGGGATCGCTGGAACTGCTGATGGTGGGGCCGTACCTGCCAGTGTTTATCTCGGTGTTCGTGCTGTGCTTTGCGGCGCCGCTGTTGGTGATGATGTGGAATCCGGTGCGTAAGAGCATCTGGGGTCCTACGATAATGTCGGTCTCCGTTCTGCTGGGGACATTGCTCGACAGGCTGCGGCTGTATGTCTCGGCGTACTCCGCACATGTCGAGCGGATAATAGACGATAATCTGACCCATCATGCTATTCACCTGGACGAGAGCGGAAGATTACCACTGGCGCTTCGCAGGATGCATCCGCCGGACATTCCGGACATCTTGATGATTCTGGGCGTGATTGGCGGCTGCGTGCTGGTGTACTTGCTATTCGCGCGGCTGATACCGCCGATAAACATCTGGGAGCAGAAGGAGCTGATGCTCTACAAGATGCACAAGACCTATCATCGGACGCAGGTGCTGGTGCTGGGTAAGCCAAGGTAGTCTAATATCGATTGACAGGATAGAGGGGAGATAATTTCACCCCCATCCTAACCTTCCCTAATGAGGGGAAGGAACTAACATAGGGCGGCAGATGCAAGAACTAATATATAAGGATCAGAAAGAAGTAAACCGCGACCTGCTTGCGGGCGTTCTGGGAACGCCAAAGTGGTGGTTTGGCGCGGTGGGCTTCCTGCTGCTTGTCATCTGCACGGGTCTGGCCGCATACGGCTATGAGATAAACAAGGGCGTGGGCGTTGCGGGTCTGAACCGTCCGGTGCTTTGGGGCTTCTACATTACGAACTTCGTGTTCTGGATCGGAATCAGCCACGCGGGGATTATGATTTCGGCGATACTGCGCCTGACTCAGGCCGAGTGGCGCCGCCCCGTTACGCGCGCTGCTGAGGTGATGACGCTGTTCTCACTGATTGCGGCGCTGTCGAACATCATGTTCCACGTTGGGCGGCCCTGGCGTCTGTTCTGGGTGTATCCATACGACTTTTCGCGCGGTATCTTCATGAATATTCGCTCGCCGTTCGTGTGGGACCCGAGCGCGGTTATGACTTACCTCATCGGAAGTTCGCTGTTCGTGTGTCGTGGCGCTTATACCTGACCTTGCAGTGGTGCGGGACAGGGCTACGGGCAAGTATGCGCCGAAGATATACGCAATCCTATGCCTCGGCTGGCGGGGAACGCCGCGCCAGTGGCGCTTGCAGGGGATAGCGGGCATACTGCTGTCCGCGCTGGTGCTACCGGTGTTCGTTTCGGTGCATAGCATCGTGTCGTGGGACTTCGCGGTCGCCATCGGCGTGGAAGGCTGGCACTCGACGATATTCGCGCCGTACTTCATCATCGGAGCTATTCACTCCGGCGTGTCGGCGGTTGCGATGATAATGGCGCTTGTCGTGTGGATGTGGAAGGTTGGGGATTACATTCGGCCGGACCACTTCGACGCGATTGGCAGGCTGCTGATTGTGGTGGCGGTGACCTGGTTCTTCTTCTTCTTCATAGAGTGGATATTTGCGCTGTACACACTGGAGCCGCCGGAGATAGCACTGCGCGAGCTTCAGGTGTTCGAAGGGCCGTACTGGTGGCTATTCCTGATATTCCTGCTGACGGCATTCTTCATACCTGTGCCGATGTGGCTGTTCAAGAGTGTTCGGCGCAGTCCGAAGTGGATGTTCATCACGACGGTGCTGGTGAATATCGGAATGTGGATGGAGCGCTTCCTGATTATCGTACCGGGACTTGCGCGGCGCACACCGTTTACTTTCGACTGGGGGAGCTACCATCCGAGTATCATTGAGATTCTGATTGTGGCGGAGACGTTTGCTTTCGTATCGCTTGGCATGCTGCTATTCGCCAAGTTCTTCCCGCTGGTACCGATCTTCGATGTGAAAGAGGGCATGGTGTTCAAGGATGAAATGAAAATTGGCAGGAGGATTGTGCCGGCGAGCATACGAGAGACGCCGTAAGGCGGGGTTAGCATCGATGGACGGGGCGAATGGGATATGATTTTCTCACCCTCATCCCAACCTTTCCCCATCAAGGGGTAGTTGGCAATTTGATTCGATAAGTCTGAAGAGGCGAGTTATGGCAAAGAGAAGCGTGTTGGGACTGTTCCCGGAAGAGCAGGTTGACACAGCTGCGGACGCGATGGAAGCGTTGGCGTCTGCGGGATACACGGACAGACGAGTACGAGGTACTGACTGGGACGCACATATCCGAAGGAACTTTCGGGGAGGCTGAGCCTGTACACAAGCTGTTCCGGTGGCCGCTGATGGGCGCAACCTGCGGCTTTGTGGTCGGCTTGTTGGTAACTGCCGGCTCGCAGTTGGCGTATCCGCTGGTTACGGCGGCAAGCCTGTGCTGTCCATCCGCCGATGGCATTATCATGTACGAAGGTACGATGCTAGGCGCGATTATTTTCGCAGTGATAGGCATCATAATTGAGTCGCGCGTCTGCCGCGCCTGTTCATGGGCGCATACGACACCCGTATTACGAAGGCTACATCGGCGTTTACCGTAACGGCGGATGAGGGTCGAATGGCTGACGCGGAGAAGGTGCTGCGTGATTCGGGCGCAGAGGATATTTAAACGAGGTTGGGAGAGCAACTAGCAGATGAGTAACTCTTCCTTAAAGGCGATGACCGGTCGCCAGATTAAGGCTCGCAGGCTTGCCGGGCGGACGGCGCTGATATTAATGGCGGCGTTGCTGACGGTTGCCGCGCTGGGCTGCTATAACATCAGGACGGGTCGTGTGGATGTCGGCGGCGCGATCAACTTCAAGCTGCCGGCGTTTACGCAGACGGGCCCGCACGCAGTGGACATATTCACGGAGATGCACTTCCAGCCGTCTTACCGGACGCAGGAAGGGCCGCGCATTCTGCCGCCGCCGGACTCTGTGCCGATTACGGGCAAAGAGGTCGAGTACAAGAGCGTCGAAGAGTACCAAACGATGGAGGTTCCATCGGGGATTGCGTCGGATAGTGAGACCCTGGGCAGGGCACGGCATACTTATGAGACGAACTGTATGGTGTGCCATGGCTCCGCGTTGCGGGGCGAGGACGGCGACGCGAAGATTCTGCCGTACTTGGCGAATGCTTCGGGCGCGCGTCCGCGTAACTTGGTAGATGTGAAGCTCAGCGGCGATGGCGAGCAGGTAATCGGCGCGGCGAGCGACGACACGACGGATGGCGAGATATACGCGTGGATTTCATACGGCGGGCAGGCAGGGTTTGCTTCTGCGCTACGCGACAGGCCGACCACTTCATGGATGCCGCAGTTCGGACGTCTGCTGAGCGAGGAAGAGCGCTGGGAGTTGGTGATGCTCATCAGGGCTGAGCAGGCTAGGTAGCTGCCCTAACTCCAACATATCCTGACACACACAAATCCCCTTCTCCTGTGAATGGAGAGGGGATTTCCTTTTGTATGAGGGACGCTTCGGGCCGTCTTTCGATAAAGATCATGGGGGAACAGAACTTCCTGGCTGCAATCACTACATTGGATTTGCCTTGCCGCCTGGCTGTCACGGGTTGACTGTGATGCTGCCCCAGCAGACGACGTTGCCGTCAGAGCGTATGGCGCAGGTATGGGTTTCGCCGCTGGCTATGGCTGTGTATGTGCCGGTAGTGGGTGGCGACGCCTGGCCGTGCTCGTTGTCGCCCCAGCAGAGGATGAGAGCCGGCCGTCTTGTGGAGAGCGCAGGAATGCATGCCGCCGCTGCTCACGGTGATGCCTATGTCGGGCGGGGGCTGTGGTGTAGTGGCAGCACCGGGCGTGCTGGTGGGAGTCACTGTAGGGCTTGGCGCTGGCGTTAAAGTAGGGGTAGGAATAGGCGTGTAGGTCGGTGTGGCGACGGGGTCTCCGGGCTTCAAATCGGGATCGACTGTGGGTATTAGCGTGGGTGTAGCTGTGATAGTAGCGGTCTGCGTGGCGGTAGGTGTATGAGTTGCTGTTGGGCTGGGTGTGGGAGTTGATGTTGCGGTTGGCGTGGATGTCGCGGTGGCGGTAGGAGTTGCTGTGGGCCGGGGCGTGTGTGTCGGTGTGGGCGTAGGCGTGGCGGCCGGCGGCGCGGGCAGATGTGCGAAGCCGTGTCCATAGCTGTTGTTGGGCTTCGTGCCCCGACTCAGCGCGTTTGTCTTGAGGTATGAGGCTATACTCGATGGGCTTCGGGAAGGATAGCGCTGCTTGACGAGTGCGGCTAGGCCGGCAATGTGAGGCGCGGCGAAGCTGGTGCCATAAACAGTCTCTCCGTAAGACGCAGTGGCAATGCCGCTTACGCCCATAATGTCGGGCTTGATTGTGCCGTCGGGAAGGGGGCCACGACTACTGCTCACAAAGTAGGCGTTTGTGTTAAACCAGGGTGACGCGCCCACTGCGAGGGCACCTGAACTCTTGGTTTCCGCCGGATTGCCAAGGGCGTGGCTCTCTGTGGTGCGCTCAAGGCTCTCGCCGCTGAACGACTGGAGCTGTACCCAGCTCGGGATGGCACCATCTTGACGCTTGATTCCCAGGCAATATGTCCCGCTTGTGGAAGGTGTGTAACCGATAACCTCAAAGGGTTCGTCGTTTGAGCCTCCAGACTGCGAGCCTTCGCTGATTGCAACGGGTTCCGAACCCGGACCGCCTGCGCCATACAGGTACATGTCCAGGTCCTTGGTTGCGCCGTTCCAGGTATCATTCCATCTCAGCTGAGCTAGGTATTTCTCGCCGGAAGTGAGGGGCACGCTGTTACACTCATCTCCGGATACGAAGTCAAGAAAGTCATCGCCATCGGGATCTGAGAAGCTCCCGAACCATGTGGCACGAGCCTCGTTTCCCGCGGCAACGGCGAACAGAGCGCCACCGGACACCGCTGTGTTGACGCTTCTGAGTGGACTGTTTTGGTAAGGGGATGTGCCGTTTCCGGGACCGTCCCACAGATAATGCACTGAGAAACTGATTACATCCACGCCCTGCGAGACCATCCATTGCACGGCGCTCCTCAGATTACCTTGCGAAACGATGCGCGCTATGTAGAAGGAGGCTCCCGGCGCTGTCTCGTACAGGACTTCCGTTATCCCTGTGCCGTGCGGGCCGCCCCTCTCACAGTCTGAAAGGAGGCTTGAAGATATGAAGCTGCTTGAATAGCACCTCGCTTGGACAGTAGATGGTAGTTCAGTCCCTCTAAGGCCGCTGAAGCCCTGAAACTCCAGGTCGATGACGCCCACCTTGACGCCTTGTCCCCTGTATCCCGCGCTGTGCCATGCTATCGCGCCGTGCGCGGTTGCGCCCTGTCCTCCAACACTGAATTGAGCGGGCTGCGGTGGGACGATGGGCTTTACGACAATTACGCCGGGCAGTTCGGATGCATGGGCGAGTAAGGACACAGGCACTTCGGCTTCGATGAAGTGCTCGTCTTCTAGTGGTTCGCGCGCGGGGACATCGTAGGCTTGCAGGAAATCCCACACATTCCGCACGTGCTCCTCTTCGATGTGGAAGGTTACTGCGACGGACTGCTCATGATGCATTGGTGCTGCGCTTGCGGCTGCCCTGGCGGTTAGTCGCGCCGTTCTCGTATTTCCTTACGATCTCATTGAGTAGATAGGCCATGCCGTCGTATTTTGGCGGATGGAGCTTGCCTCGAGTGGCGGGACCTGCTCGTTGTGCGGCTCGATTTCCTGCTTGGGCGTAGGAGTGGGCGTGGGAGCGCCTGGCCTGCTGGGCGTGGGCGCTTGGCTGTCGCGAGCCCGTAATAAGGGCAACGAACAGCATTGCCGAAGCGATGATGGCGAGAGATAGAGGCAGAATACGGTTCATAATTGAAGGGAAGAAAATGAGGATTTTACCGCACTAATTGTGCAGATCCGATTGTATTATATCCAAATCGGTCAAGTAGTGGCGATGGGTGGCGTTGCCGCACGGAGGTGTGCCGGCGATCAGCAATTAAGCCGCATTGGACTGTGTTGCTGAGGTCCTGTGATACAATTACGGCGGCTTTATGCAACAGGATTTTCACTCCTTTGATGGATTCAGAAACACAGTGAGGGCCAATGATGGTGAGCGGCAGCAGCCTTGAAACCGCATATACGATAGATACTTCGAGCATCAAGTTCGGGCCGGGTGTTACGCGCGAGGTCGGGTACGAGATGCGCCGACTCGACGCGCGACGCGTTATGGTGGTCACTGACCCGCGGATGGCAAGCAGCGAAGCCGTGGCGATTACGCTGGAATCCCTGCGGGACGAGGCAATCGACGCGGTGCTGTTCGACAGGGTGAGCGTAGAGCCGACGGATGTGTCGTTCAAGGAGGCGATTGCGTTCGCTACCGAAGGTGCATTCGACGGATTCGTGGCCGTTGGCGGCGGCTCGAGCATAGATACTGCAAAGGCTGCGAACCTGTATGTGACCTATCCCGCTGACTTCCTCGCTTATGTGAACGCACCCATCGGCGAGGGACGTCCTGTGCCAGGACCACTGAAGCCTCTTATTGCGATTCCCACGACATCGGGGACGGGAAGCGAGACGACAGGGGTTGCGATTTTCGACCTGCTGGAGTTGGAAGCAAAGACTGGGATCGCGCACAGGGCGCTGCGGCCGGTGATGGGCATTGTCGATCCGCTTCACTCACGGACGCTGCCGAGCCAGGTGGTAGCTTGCAGCGGCTTCGATGTGCTGTGCCACGGGCTGGAGTCGTACACCGCGTTGCCGTTTCACCGAGCGTGATGCGCCGGAGAATCCAGGTCTGCGTCCGTCTTACCAAGGGGCGAACCCGATAAGTGATGTGTGGGCGACGCGAGCCATCGAGATGGTGGCAGCGAATATGGTGCGGGCATACGATGATGCGGAGGATGTAGAGGCGCGCAGCCAGATGATGCTTGCGGCGACATTCGCGGGTGTGGGGATTCGGGAATGCGGGTTGTCATTTGCCGCACGGGATGTCATATCCTGTGTCTGGAATGGTGAAGGAGTTCTGTCCGGATGGGTATCCACAGGACGCACCGCTTGTGCCGCATGGGATGTCGGTGATACTGAACGCGCCTGCGGTGTTCCGTTTCACAGCTCCGACAAATCCACAGCGGCACCTGCATGCTGCGCGTCTGATGGGGCTGGATGTGCGCGGAGCGAGCCCTGAGGACGCTGGCGACCTGCTGGCGGACGCGATTGTGGCGCTGATGCGGCGACTGAATGTGCCGAACGGACTGAGCGCGATAGGCTATTCGGAGGACGACTTGGGCAGGCTGGTAGAGGGGACGCTTCCGCAGCATAGGGTGGTGAAGCTGTCGCCGCGTCCGGCAGGCGCTGAGGAACTTCGAGGGCTGTTCAGGGACTCTATGACGCTGTGGTAGTTGATGTAGGTACTCCGACAGGCTGAGCGCGTGGGCTTGATATTCTCAGCCACACCCCAATAGGCGCTTGCGTGTGGCTGTTAAGATTTCCTTGGTGAGTCCTTGCAGCATCTCGGCACTGGGATTCTGCTTCCGCAGAATGACGATTCTGATAACCGACGCGCGCTAAGAATACCGATGCTCTGCGTGAATTGACATAGTGATGTCGGATTGAATAAGATAATGGTTAGTAAGAATGCGTAAGGAGGCTTGAGTGTTGACTTCTGGAGCGGCAGAAACAACGACGATACAGGAAGCCTTGGACATGTATGTCCGAAGCCTCAAAACGGGCGGAAGGTCCAAAGCAGGTCCAGCAGCAGCAATAAGCCAATCGACCACAAAGCCCTCTACCAGTTTGTACAATACTTTTCCCCCAGACGCCTCTCTTCAGAAGCTGACGCCCTCCGATATCGGCACATACGCCGAGAGTGTCAACGGCACAGGAACGACTCCCCAAGCAACCGGGCAACTTCAGGCGGTCAAGGATTTTCTTGCATACGCTAAGAAGAGCGAAGGGCTAACCGAAGAAAATCTTGCACGATATGTTCGCATTCGCAAGGCACGCAGCCGCTCCGGCGCTACCGTTGTTTCCAGCGAGTCGCAGCCTATTGAACTGACATCCGAGGGGCACACGCAATTGGTTGGCCAGCGCGAGCGGCTATTAGTTGAAAGCGAGTCGCTCGTAGTGGAGATACGCAGGGCGCGTGCGGATGGTGATGTAACAGAGAACTCGCCGCTGGATGCGGCGCGCGAGGAGCAAGGGCGAGTCCAGGCGCGAATCAAGGAGATAACGGCGACGCTGGAAAAATCCGTCATTATCGAAGAGGGACAGGTACGGGACAGCAAGGTGGTGAAGATTGGCGCGCGAGTCGAGGTAAGAGAACTCATAAGCGGCGGCGAGCCTAAGATTTACACGCTTGTGAACAAGACAGAGGCGAATCCACTGGAGCTTCGTATATCGGATGATTCTCCGATGGGCAAAGCGCTATTGGGGAAGCGGGTCGGTCAGAAGGTGCCGGTCGTTACACCACGCGGCAAGCTGAATTACGAAGTCATCAGCATCGCCTAGATTATTTCCGGGCTTTTCCGACATTGTGAGTGAGCGTATTTCACAGTCAGCGATTTAGTGCATCTTGCTCTAATTCTCATGCATCCTGCCAAGATCAATTTATTGCCTCCACACCTCCACGCCTGCACCAATAACCCACTGCATAGTATATCTTTGCGTTCTGCAACAATTGAATTGGAGTAGCATTCCTTGACCACCAATGCATCTAACGGCAAACTCTGGGTTTCGATGATATTGCTTGCGGGTGTGGGTATTCCCGGGGTGATAATCCGATTTGGAGGCATACACCTCGATCCCGCGCTGGAATCGCTCATATTCGGAGTTGGGATCATCGGCGCAGCGTTCCTGCTGTCATGGGCGGCTGAAGTTGCGCAGTTGGATGTGTCGGCGTCTTTCGCGATTGCCGTGCTAGCGCTCATTGCTGTGATGCCGGAGTACATGGTGGAGGCAGTGCTTGCGTGGGACGCGGGCGAGTCTTACAGGCAGTTGGCAGTAGCCCAGGGTGAAGTGACGAAGGAAATGTCGCTTGCCGCCGCGAATGTTACAGGCGCAAACCGTCTGCTCATTGGGGTCGGCTGGTCGGCCGTGATCATCATCTTCTGGCTGAAGCGGCGCAGCGGATTCGACATGCGCGGCTTGCTGAAACTGGAACTGCCTATGCTGGTGGTTGCCACACTGCTGACGATACTCGTCGCGTTCTCCAAGGCGATACCGATATGGCTTGCCGTGGTCTTCATTGGCGCGTACATCTTCTACCTGTGGCGGAGTTCAACACAGGAATCGGAGGAGCCGGACCTGCTGGGCGCTGCGGCGATGATAGCGAGCTTCCGTCCATTGTACCGGCGCCTTTGGGTGCTGGGACTGTTTATATTCAGCGCGGGGATTATCCTGATAGCGGCGGAGCCGTTCGTACACGGGCTGAGGGCAACGGGCGAGGAACTGGGCATCAGCGAGTTTCTGCTGATACAGTGGCTTGCGCCGCTGGCGTCGGAGTCGCCGGAGATAATCGTGGCGGTGCTCTTTGCCCTGCGAGCGAATCCGAACGACGGATTGACAACTCTCATCTCGTCGCAGGTGAACCAGCTTACATTGCTGGTGGGCAGCATAGTGGTGGTGTTCAGCATTTCGTCAGGACAGATTCTGAGCTTCCCGCTCGACTATTTTGAGGGCGGGTTCGTTGAGAGGCTGACAAGTCCATTCGGACTGCAGTCGAGCGAGTTCCTGCTGACGGCGGCGGCTTCCACATTTGCGATTCTGCTAATCTCAACGCGCATCATTAAGTTATGGCACGGGATTGCGCTGCTAGGGATATTCGTGGCGTATATGACGACGCTGCTGGCGTTCCCGGGCTTATTCGGCGGCGGTGACGGTGTTGAGAATGTGCCGCTGCGGATGTGGTCTTCTATCATAATCTTCGGTCTGTCCGTGGTGCTGGTGGCGATGAACTGGCGGCGGGTGGTGTATGTGTTCAGGGGTGTGCCGCATCCTGATGGAGTTGAGGACTGACGGGACGGATGGGATTTTCGCGCCAATATAGTGCACGATAATCCTGTTACATTGTCCTGAAGTCTGCCACGGATAAACTTCTGAACTCGGATGACCTGCTGCTGCTGTATGTCGGGGAATTTGCGGCAAACTGATCCGAGGTGTGCACTGCGCCTGTCGAACTCAGCCTGTGCTGTGCTCGCGTTTTCTTTGAATATGCCTGCTGAAAGCGTTATGCTGTTAAGCAGGCATTTTTGCATTATTTGCATTAAATAATATCTGGCAGCAGCATACGCGCGGGGTGTGAACATAATGGCAACACTGGCTATGGAGGCGGATACCAGAGAGCTCGTTGAGGAGCTGCGGCGCAGCGTTACGGGCGAGGTGCGCTTCGACAAGATGACGCGCATGCTGTATAGCACGGATGCGAGTATCTACCAGATCGAGCCTGTGGGTGTGGTGCTGCCTAAGAGCGCCGATGATGTGATCGCGGTGCTGGAGACTGCTCATCGCTATAACCTGCCGGTGCTGCCTCGCGGCGGTGGCACGAGTCTTGCCGGACAGACGGTTGCGAATGCGATTGTGATGGACTTCTCGCGTCACATGCGGGATGTGCTGGAGGTGAACGAGGAAGAGGGGTGGGTGCGCGCGCAGCCGGGCATCATTCTGGACGAGCTGAATCACAAGATCGCGTCGAGCGGGATGTTCTTCACGCCTGATCCGAGCACGAGCAGCCGGGGCAATGTGGGCGGCGCGCTGGGAACAACTCGTGCGGCGCGCACTCCATCATTTGGGGCAAGACGGTTGACAATGTGGAGTCGCTGGATGTGGTGCTGTCGAACGGGGACCGGGCGCACTTCGGGGCGCTGGACGGAGCGCAACTTGAGTCGAGGATGCGCGGCGAGAGCCTTGAAGGAGACATCTACCGCAAGCTGTTCGGAATAGGCGAGGCGCATCGTAATGAGATCCTGGCGCGGTATCCGAAGATTCAGCGTCGGGTGTCGGGCTACAATCTCGACGAGTTCGTTGGCGGCAGCGACTTCAATATGGCGCGCTTCGTGGTCGGGTCAGAGGGCACGCTGGTCACCATCACTGAGGCGAAGCTGAAACTGGTCGAGAAGCCGAAACTGCGAGCCCTGTCGGTCATTCACTTCAACGACCTGATCGAATCCATGGAAGCCACGTCGCAACGCTGGAGATGGAGCCTGCTGCTGTGGAACTCATCGGCAGCATGATCATTCGACAGGCGAGGAGCAACCTGGCGTACTCGCGGATGACGGACTTCATCGAGGGCGACCCGGAGGCGCTGCTGGTGGTGGAGGTGATCGCGGACAGCGAGCCTGAACTGATGGCGAAACTGGAGCGGCTGGAGGCGCGCGTGAAGCGCGAGGGTATGGGATACGCGATGCCACGACTCATCAAGCCTGCCGACCAGCGAAGGTGTGGGATGTGCGGAAAGCCGGGCTGGGTCTGATGATGAATGTGCCGGGGGATGCGAAGCCGCTGCCGTTCGTGGAGGATACGGCGGTATCGCCGGAGAAGCTGCCGCAGTTCGTGAAGCGGTTCGACGAGATTGTGCGGGCGCACGGCACCGAGGCAGGGTACTACGGGCATGCGAGCGTGGGCTGCCTGCATATTAGGCCGCTGATTAATCTGAAGGAGAGCGAAGGCGTCTCCAAGATGGTGTCCATATCAGACGAGATAAGCGACCTCGTCCTGGAGTACGGCGGGTCGTTGAGCGGCGAGCACGGGGACGGGCTTGTTCGCAGTCCGTACAACGAGAAGATGTTCGGCAGCCAGATATATGACGCCTTCCGGGATGTGAAGCGGGCGTTCGATCCGGACGGCATTATGAATCCGGGCAAGATCGTGGATTCGCCGCCGATGACTAACAGCCTGCGAATCAGCCCGCAGTACAAACCGATAGAGATCGAGACGGCCTTCGCGTACAAGGAAGAGGGCAGCTTCGCGCACGCGATAGAGATGTGCAACGGTCAGGGCGCGTGCCGCAAGGTGCTGGGTGGGACGATGTGCCCGTCGTACATGGTGACGCGCGATGAGGAGCATTCGACGCGAGGGCGGGCGAATGCGCTGCGAGGGGCGATGTCTGGGGCGCTGCCGCACGAGTCGCTGACAAGCGAGCGGATGATGGCGGTGATGGACCTGTGCCTCGAATGCAAGGGGTGCAAGGCGGAGTGCCCGTCGAATGTGGATATGGCCAAGCTGAAGTATGAGTTTATGGACAAGTACAAGAAGAAGAACGGGTACTCGCTGCGGGACAGGCTGATGGGCGATGTGGCGTTCTTCAACAAGCTGGCGTCGCCGCTGGCGCCGCTGACGAACCTGCCGCTGAAATCCGCAATCGGCAAGGAGATTCTGGAGCGGTACGCGGGCATCGACAAGCGGCGGGAGCTGCCGATGCTGGCGAGCCAGACTTTCAGGCAGTGGTTCAGGGCGTCGGGCGGTTCACCTGCATCGGACGCTAAGCACGGCACGGTAGTGCTGTTCCCTGATACTTTCACGAACTACAACCATCCGAGCTGGGGATTGCGGCGGTGAAAGTGCTGCGGCATCTGGGATACCGTGTGGTTCTACCGGAGGTGAGATGTTGCGGGCGCCCGATGCTGTCGAAGGGGTTCATGGACAAGGCGAAAGCGAGCGCGCGGGCGAATGTCGAAAGCGTATATCCGCTCATTGAGCAGGGCGCAAAGCTGGTGGGTCTTGAGCCGAGCTGCATCCTGAGTTTCAGCGACGAGTACGAGGACCTGCTGGGTGGCGACGCGAAAGCTAAAGCGATTGCCGAGAACACGATGCTGATCGAGGAGTTTCCTGCTGTACGCGCAGGAGGATCGTGGCGCTGTGCCGGAGTACACGCGACCTCCGGGGAAAGGTGCTGTTCCACGGGCATTGCCATCAGAAGGCGCTGGTGGGCACGCGGGCTGCGATGCAGGTGCTGAACGCGATACCGGGGCTGCGAGGCGACGGAGATACAGACGGGGTGCTGCGGGATGGCAGGGTCGTTCGGGCTGGAGAAGGAGCACTACGACATCTCTATGAGCATCGGGGAGATGTCGCTGTTCCCAGCGGTGCGGGCTCAGCAACAGCAGGGCGAGTTCGAGCTTGTGATGGAGGGGGTGTCGTGCCGCCAGCAGGTGGAGCACGGGACGGGGAAGAAGGCGAAGCACCTGGTGGAGTTGCTGGCGGATGCGATTTAGGGGGCTGTTAACGGAAGACGTCTGGCAACTCTTCTACGGGTATGTCTCGCTCCTTCGCCCAAGACTGAATAGTGGTCTTTTCGAGTCTCTGGCGTTCCAGCCTAATTCCTTCTTGAATGCCTTGCTTGTAGCCTTCGCCATATCCCATCCGGTAGCCTTCGCCAAATTGCCAGCTTATGGTGCCACGTTCAGGCAACTCGTCGATAGGGATACCCCTCTTTTCAGCCCACTTCCGCATGCTCGCCTTATTGCGGCGGCGTTCATCCAAGAATTGCTGGTTCCTCTCCGCTTCCCATTTTCGCTTCAAATAGCTTGCTAATACCATTTAGGCATCCTCAGATTCGCAACTGAACCTTTAGTTGGACTCAGTTTCGTCAATGGTGGGCAGTTCGTCGGGCGGGATGCCCTTCTCTATTGCCCACGCGCGCATTTTGGCATTGGCGCGTTTGCGCTCCTCAGCACGGCCCTTCTCCCTGCCTTCCTCAAACTGCCTTTTTTTGACCCAAGCTGCCAGTACCATGACTCCCTCCGCTGAAATCGCAACGAGTATTGAGTTTGCCGCCGCGCCGAGGCTGATTGGTCCAGCTCCTACGATGATCTGCAGTATTGCACCGGTGAGGGTATTGTCGGGGCTCAACCAAATCTGATTATAGACACTGATGGCCATGCCCGCTACGCACTGTATCCAAAATAGAGCGAAGTATAGCCCGACCATTTCGGGAGTTATGGACGGTATAGATACTCTTTGCGCTATTGAAGTGTTGCTAATACTTGCCAAAGCCTAATGCCAACGTGCTCAGTCGGTGTTCCAAGATAGTATAGCACAAGGCAATAGTGTCAGAAACAATAATTAAAGGTCTGCGTTCGCAGTCTGGGAAATCTAACTCAGCACTTCGAGCAGGGCATCTTCCAGTTCTTCGATGGGTGCGAAGCCTTCGAAGCGCCGGTGGATGGTGCCGTCAGAGTTGACTACGAATGACCATTCTGTGCTGGGGAGGTTCCATTCGAGGACGGTCGGAGACACGCGGGCGCGACTCAGGTCGCCCTGGATTTCGTCTGGGTTGTCGAAGAAGTCCACGTGGATGAAGTTCGCCTTGCCTTTGTACTTGTCCTTTAGTTCGCTGAGGACATCAACCTGTGGGCCGCAGACGGCATTGGTGCAGAATGCGGGGCTTGCTATCACGATGACGGTTGGCGTACCGGACTGCACGGCGTCTGCGATGCTTATCTGGTAGAGGTCGGTGTCCTGGAGCGAGCCGGTCGTCAACTCTTCGATGCTGTGCGTGGCAAGCGTCTTATTGGCGCTGCGGTTGCGGGCGCGCCGTTGGCTGGCGCTGCGGTCTGCTCAGGGACATCGAATCGGAGCTGCGCGCGAAGGGTGTTCGCTTCCTCGTCGAGCACGGCTATTTCCAAGCCCCAATCGCCTGGCGTGTCGAACTGCATCTGCGCCGCATATAGGCCGCGTGTGCCGAGCGGGAAGGGCCTGAACAGGGCGACAGCAGTGTCGCGGATCTCGCCTTCGGTTGAGCCGTCTGGGTAGTGGTACGATGTGAGCGATGCTATGGGAGAGCGCACAAGTCCCTTTTTGGATGTCAGAACTACCGCGATGCGCTGCTCACCTACGCCCAGGTCCGGCGTGGCGAAGATTGCCTGGAGGCCGTCGGGTGACACGGGTCCCTTGATGAGCTCGACTTCGGTGAACTGTGCGCCTTCGCCGCCTTCTGGTGCGGCTTGCTCTGACGGGCCCTGCTCCTGCTGACAGGCAATTGCTGCCAGCAGGAGCAGGGCTGCGAGTGTCAGGGTTATGATGTGTCGCTTGAAAGTCATCCTATTCATTCCTTTGACAAGCCTAGGACATGCTCTGTCCATCGATGTTCAGCCAATCTCAGCCACCGTTAGTCGGGCCGGTTTGGGCGGGTTCGCCGCCGTCGTATGCGCCGAATGTGTAGGCGAAGAGAGAGAACTCAGGCGAGTTTGAGCTGAGCTTGAGCTCGTGGCTCTCGTACTTGGGCAGTTGACGACGTGGTACATTCGGGCTGAATCAACGACGATGTAGCCGTTGCCGTCAGCGTCGAACATCACATCTGTGCCTGCGGCGTCTGCGCTGATGGGCTTGTCATTGAGCGTTACGCGCACCTGGTATTCGCCGCCGTTGACGGGGGCCATGACTGCGTTGACGCTGGTCGCACTGAACTTTAGAGCTAGGTAGTCCTCATAACCCTCGGTTTCGCGGGCGTGTATCAGACGTTCAGCGTCGTTACGCCATAGTCCTTGCAGGTAGAGGAAGTGGTTCTTGTGCTCGCCGGGGTCGTCGTAGAAAACCTCGGCGTTCTCTTCCTCGTAATACTCCTCGTGCAGGACGTAGGGCGCTGATGACAATAGCGCGCCGTAGTTGCGCTCGAAGCCTGCATAAATCTCGCGGGTCAGACCGGTCTCTTGGTCGGTCGAGCGCAGGTCGATGGCGTGGCGCGGCTCCGGGATAGTGCTGGCGGACACGTCGCTGAGGTCAACGCCTGCCTCTTCAAGCAAGCCGCGAATCCAGAGTTCGGTTTCCTCGTATGCGCCTTCACCGAAGTGCGTGTAGCGAATATAGCCGTCTTTGTCCACGAGGTACTTGGCGGGCCAGTAGCGGTTGTCGAAGGCGCGCCATGTCTTGAAGTCGTTGTCCTGCGCGATGGGCCACTTCAGTCCGAAGCCCTCGGTGGCTTCGATTACATTGTCGCGGTCCTTCTCGAAGTCAAACTCGGGTGTGTGGACGCCGACGATGACGAGGCCCTTGTCGGTGTACTTCTCATGCCACGCCTTGAGGAAGGGCAATGTGCGGATGCAGTTGACGCAGGTGTATGTCCAGAAGTCCACGAGGACGACCTTGCCGCGATGCTCCTCGAAGGTGATCGGCTCGGAGTTGATCCAACTGGCGATGCCGCGAATTTCTGGAACGGTCTTTTCGTCGCCGGTCGCGGGTGTGACGATGGACGCGTGGGCGGACGCCTGCGGCTCGGCAGTGGCAACAGGCTTCGAGGGTACGGGCGTCGCCGTTGCTGCAGGCGGCTGCGTAGGCGGGACGCTAGTCGCGGTCGCGGCTTGCGCTTGCTGTGGCGCGGGGGCAGCGGGAACAGCGTTCGTCTGCTGCGTCTGTGCTGCGGGTGCTTCGGTCGTCTGCGGCGCTGATCCTGAGCAAGCGGCGAAGACGAAGGCGGCTGCGAGCAGCAGTGCGATTGTCGTGATGCCTATGCGAATGGTCTTCATTGTGGGCACTCCTGTTGTTTGGTCTGTTTGGGTTACCCCAGTTGCAATACATTGGTTTTGAGGGATTCGTTTGGTTAGATGCTATTGTGTGGGGAAAGATTTTGCGAGCTTATATCATGCTTGGAAGGTCAGGATGTTAAGTGATGGTCTTCCCTCAATGGAGTGCGTCGTGTAACTTGCTACCAGTTACTATGGAGGGTTATCATTCTTCGCAATCATTGATGGAGACTACGGGGATTATACAGAGTCATGGCACAGATGGATTCCTGCTCCCAGTTTTCCCACGGACAAGCTGTACAGGAATGACTAATTGGACAACTAATAAGGCTACGATACAGAGTAAAGAGGGGATTTGACATGAAGGTTGGGTTTATTGGCGTTGGGTTTATGGGACGGCACATGGCGCGGAATATCGCGGCGGGCGGATTTGAGATGACGGTGTTCGACATTCGCAAGGAAGCCGCCGAAGAGCTACTGTCTATGGGCGCGACATGGGCGGAAAGTCCTGCCGCCGTTGCCGCCGCGAGCGATGTGGTATTCACCTCGCTGCCGCGTCCGCAGGATGTGGAGGAGGTTGCGCTTGGCGAGGGCGGCATTCTGAGCGGCGCTGGCGCTGGCACGGTCTATTTCGACCTGAGCACGACCGACCCGGATACTATCTATCGCGTAAGCGCGGCGGGTGAAAGCGCGGGCGTTACGGTCCTGGATGCGCCCGTGAGCGGTGGCGTGGGCGGCGCGGAGGCTGGGACGCTGTGCGTGATGGTGGGCGGCGACGAAGATGCCTACCTGCGCTGCAAGCCGGTGCTGGACAGGATCGGGGACAAGGTGATGCGCTGCGGCGACCTGGGTTCAGGCGCGATATGCAAGATTGTGAACAATCTTATCGGGTCTGAGCGTGGGCGTGCTGCTGTCGGAGGCGTTCAGCCTGGGCGTGAAGGCGGGCGTTGACGCGCAGACGCTGTTTGACGCTGTGAAGGGAAGCTCGGGTAACACGCAGAGCATGCAGGGATTCCCGTCGGGGCTGTTCGTGGGGAACTTCGAGCCGGGCTTTCAGCTAGACCTTGCGGCGAAGGATGTCGGGCTGGCGACGGATATGGGGCGGCGGCTGCGCGTGCCGATGGAAATGTCGAATATAGCGCAGCAGCGTTACATTGCAGGGCAGAACAAGGGCTGGGGCAGGGAAGCGTCCGGGGCGGTCGCAAAGGTACAGGAAGAGCGGGCGGAGGTTGAGATTCGAACGACTACGGACGAGGGCTAACATGGATGTATCGGATGGGGAGGATTTTTATACATCACCTCCGTCCTGACCTTCCCTCATCGAGTGGGAAGGGAGTGAAAGGGTAGTATGTTCCAAAAGAGTACGCTGGAAAATGGGATGCGGGTGGTGACGAGCGAGATGCTGCATACTCGATCGGTGAGTATGTGCATGTTCGTGGGAGTTGGCTCGCGGTATGAGACGGACGAAGAGGCGGGGCTGTCGCACTTTCTTGAGCACATGGTGTTCAAGGGGACGGCGAAGCGTCCTGAACCGCAGCAGATAAGCGCTGCGATAGAAGGCGTGGGTGGCGTGATAAACGCGGCTACCGAGCATGAGTTGACGGTCTATTGGTGCAAGGTGGCGCAGCCGTACTTCGAGGACAGCCTTGCGCTGCTGTTCGACCTCTTTCGCAACTCGCTGTATGAGCCGGATTCCATCGAGAAGGAGCGGCATGTCATCTTCGAGGAATTGGGGATGATAAACGATTATCCTAGCTACAAGGTGGAGGCGCTGATCGACGAAATGCTGTGGCCCGGGCATCCGCTAGGGCGCGACATCGGGGGGACGCGTGAGAGCGTTGGCGGCATAACCCGCGAGATGATTCTGGACTTTGTGTCGGCGTACTACACACCGGACAACATAGTGGTGAGCGTGGCGGGGAATGTTTCGCATGAGGATGTAGTGGCACACGTGGAGCGGCTGAGCGAGGGCTGGGAGGTTGGTGGGCGCAATGAGTGGACGCCCTATCTGGGAAGTCAGAGCGAGGCTCAGTCACATGTGGAGTATCGCAAGACGGAGCAGGCGCATCTGTCGGTCGCGCTGCCGGGAGTATCGCTGACACATCCGCAGCGGTATGCGCTCGACCTTCTGAGTGTGGCGCTGGGCGAGGGCATGAGCAGCTCGCCTGTTCGTGGAGGTGCGCGAGAAGCGAGGCTTGCCTACGATGTCCACAGCGAGGTTAGCCACTTCTCGGACACTGGGGCGATTATCGTGTCTGCGGGCGTGGACCCGAAGCGCGTGTATGACGCCGTTCAGACGATACTTGAGCAGGTGGCCGCGATGCGCGACGCCGTGCCGGAGGAAGAGCTGGAGAAGGCGAAGCATCTGAGCGGCGGCAGGCTGATGCTGCGAATGGAGGACACGCGCGCGGTCGCCATCTGGATGGGACAGTCGGAGATGCTGCTGGGGCATATCGCGGATGTTGACGATGTGATCGAGGAAGTGAACGCGGTGACGACCGATGATGTGCGAAGTCTTGCCAACGATTTGCTGGTTACGGAGAAACTGAACATCGCGGTTGTAGGGCCTTGCCGGGGGCATCAGCGGGTACGGCGGCATGCTGGACACATATGTCTTTCAGCTGTCATGTGCTGTCGAGCGGTCCGACAGGCTCACGAGGAACGGGTGAGGCATTTCTTCGAGTCTCGTCATTCCCGCGAAGGCGGGAATCCAGAGAATCTATGATGGTTCCTTGCGTATATATTCTATCAAGCAAGCGCAACGGCACCCTGTATATTGGCGTGACATCGGATCTAGTTCAACGAGTGTGGCAGCACAAGAATGATTTCGTAGATGGATTTACCAAGCGCTATGGTGTGCATAACCTTGTTTGGTATGAGGTCCACGACACGATGGAGAGTGCCATTACCAGGGAGAAAGCTCTGAAGAAGTGGCACCGGGCTTGGAAGTTAAGATTGATAGAAGAAAGTAATCCATCGTGGCGGGACTTGTAGTCAGAGATTGTCTGAGCGAATGCATGCACTGGATTCCCGCCTACGCGGGAAAGACGAAGAAGTGCGCCGAAATGACGGATTGACCATACTTTTGTAGTGGAATAGCAGGTGCAATGATGGCTATGGATATGTACATCACGGTGTCGGAGGAGACAGGATTGCGCGGTATGAGGTGGATGTGGGGACGGGCGCGCTGACGCATGTCGGGATGTGCGGACTGCTGCGCGGCCCTGCGCCGTTGGCGGTGAATCCTGCGCGGGACAGGCTGTATGTGGGCTGCCGCGACGAGATTGCGCTTTCGAGCTACAGGATTGGCGAGGGCGGGTCGCTCACGCATATTGGGGATGCTGCGGTGGATAACGACCCGTGCTACCTGGCGACGGACCGCAGCGGGCGCTTCCTGCTGTCGGCGTACTATCAGGGCGGAAGGTGCGCAGTGCATGCCATCGGCGATGACGGCGCAGCTATTTTGCCACCGGTGGAGTGGCTGGCAACGGCTAAGGGCGCGCACTCGATGCAGACGGATGCGTCGAACCGGTTCGCGTTTGTGCCGCACATATCGGGCGGCAATGGGCCGAATGCGATATTCCAGTTCAGGTTCGATGCGGAGACGGGGCGCATCACGCCTAACTCTCCGGCGCGGGTTGAGATGGATGGGGAGCTGGGACCGCGCCATTTCTGTTTCCACCCAAGCAAGGACATCCTGTACTTCTCAGATGAGCAGGGGTGCAGTGTTACGGGCTACAACTTCGATGCGGACGCGGGGACGCTGAGCGCCTTTCAGACTATATCTACGCTGCCAGAGGGGTTCACGGAGCGCAATAGCTGTTCACAGATACAGATTGCGCCTTCGGGCGAGTTTCTGTACGCGCCGAATCGGGGTCACAACAGCATGGCGTGCTTCAAAGTCGATGCGGACAGCGGCGCGCTGACGGCTATCGGGCATGCGCCAAGCGAGGGCAGTGCCGCGCGCGTTCAGCATCGATCCGAGCGGGCGGTATCTGTATGCGGCGGGACTGGATACGGGGCGGCTTGCGGCGTATCGGATCGAGGGGGATGGGACGCTGACGCGGTTTGCGACTTATGAGGTCGGCGCAGGACCGATGTGGGTCCTGATTATCGAGAACTAACAGGATGGACAGGATTTTGTTCTCTCCACACTCTGAATTGACAAGTACAGCTCCACAGAAGAACATTCTGATCATTGCAGGTCCAAATGGTGCGGGCAAGACGACTTTCGCAAGGAACTATCTGCTCAACGAGGCAGATGACCCGACTTTTATCAATGCTGATATGATTGCGGAAGGGTTGAACCCGTTTCCACCGGAACGCTCGGCGTTCGCGGCAGGCAGGATAATGCTCCGTATGATAGACGAGTATGTCCGGCGCGGTGAGAGTTTCGCCTTCGAGACGACGCTAAGTGGTCGAAGTTACGCTCGGTCGATTCCGGAGTGGCAAGCAGAAGGTTATTGGATCACGCTATGTTTCTTGCTTCTACCAACACCTGAAATGGCTGTATCTCGTGTTCGCAACCGAGTGCGTGAGGGCGGACATCACGTGGATGAAGAAGTGGTACGTCGTCGGTTCGATGCGGGCTGGCGAAATTTTGAAAACTTGTATCGAATCATCGTGGATGAGTGGATACTATACGACTCATCCCAAGAAACCCCGAGGATTGTTACAAGAGGGAGAAGTTATGGACAAGCAGAGTCAGAAACGAAAGATTCCCACAGATAAAGAGAGAGACGCGTACTTTGCAGGAATCGACGCGGCGATGCGACGCGCGGCTATCGAAGCACGCCGCCGCGCGATAGAGACGACAGGTTCGGTTCCAACCTGGAGAGATGGCAAGATAGTTTATGATACTGAGGTGTAACATTTCAGTTGATATTGCTTTCCAGTCTTCTAGGTGCAGCGTATGGAGCAAGGTTGAGTAAAGTGGCATTGGCACTATCATTAGCGCATATCGGCGCTGCTACATCTAGTCATTGTCCAATTGCATTGGACGGCTCAAGTTGGTAATCTGTAACTGTGAATCTCATGGGCGCAGCGAGCGGTTAAAAGGCGGTGCACAATGCAGGTAGTCTTCAATGAAGCGGTCAAGCAGCTTGGGAGCGATACGCCCGTAGTTGTCGCTACGGTGATAGGTACGAAGGGTTCGACGCCGCAGAAGCCGGGATCGAAGCTGCTGGTGCGGAGCGACGGGAGCGGCGTGGGCACGCTGGGTGGCGGATGCGTGGAGGGGACATCTGGTTTGCGGCGAGCGAGCTGCTGAAGAGCGGCGGCACCGCTGAGTACCGCGAGTATCAGCTGAATGAAGACCTTGCTGCCGAAGACGGGCTGGTGTGCGGCGGTACGATGTTCTTCCTGATTGACCCTGTTTATGAGCCGGGCGAGTACCTGGACTTTGCCAAGGAGATCGAGGACGCATACACGGGCGGCAGTCCGGTCGCGCTGGCAAGCCTGATACGCGGCGGCAGCGGATCGCCTGCTACCATCGGAGCGAAGATGTTCATCCGGCACGACGGCTCTACGGTCGGATCGTTGGGCAGTCCTGAGCTGGACGATAGCGCGATGGAAGAGGCGTTCGAGCTGATGGTTCACGGCAAGAACAAGTATGTCGTAACCGGAAGCGGCGCCGAGTATTTCGTCGAAGCGTACACGACACCACCACAGCTAGTGCTGTGCGGTGGCGGGCATGTCTCTAAGTCGATTGCGCCCCTCGCGAAGACACTCGGCTTCCGCGTGTTCGTCACGGACGATAGACAAGAGTTCGCCAAACGCTGATCGATTCCCGGAGGCGGACATCATCATCGCCAAGAAGCCGGAAGAGGCGATGGGCGAGCTGCCAATCAACCCGAATACCTTCATCATCGTCGCCACGCGCGGGCATCGCTATGACAATGTCGCGCTTGCCGCAGCCGCCAGGACTTCCGCGAAGTATGTCGGCTTGCTGGGGAGCAAGCGCAAGATTATCCTCATCTACGAAGACCTGATGCGGATGGGCATATCCAACGAGCGCATACGCGAGATTGCGCGCGCCGTCGGACTGGACATCGGGGCGCGCACGCCCGAAGAGATTGCAGTGAGCATCATGTCCGAAGTGTTGATGTTCCGGCTGGGCGGCACTGGCAGCGTGATGAAGCTCGAAGAGCGTCTGATGGGTCGCATCGAGGAGAAGCACGGCGCTGCCGCGGTGGTCGCAGACTAGGCGATGCCCGGAGTCTCAGCCATTTTGACAGCAGCGGGCGAATCCCGTCGTATGGGGCGGCCCAAGCCGTTGTTGCCTTGGCGCGGCACAACCCTCGTGGAGCACCAGATAAGAGCTTTGTTCAATGCCGGCGTCTCTGAAGTCGTGGTTGTTGTGGGGCATGAGGCGGATGCGGTCTCGGCGCAAGTAGCAGGCACAGGCGCGCGCTGCATGGTGAACCCCGACTACCTCCAGGGCAAGACGACCTCCATCAAGGCTGGGCTGAAGGCCATTAGCGGGGATGCGGACGCCATCTTGCTGCTTGCGGTTGACCAACCGCGCACCGAATTCATCATCGCAGCCGTCGTGGAAGCGCATGCTACGGGTGACTCGCTGATAACCTCGCCCCGCTACGAAGGGCACGGCGGGCATCCACTGATATTTGCGGCGTCTTTGCGTGACGAGCTTGCGCGCATCAGCGAGGAGAAGCAGGGGATACGCGAGGTGTTTCTGGCACACCGCGACAGTGTGCAGGAGTATGTCATAGGCGACCCGATGATACGGCTGGATCTGAATACACCTGATGCTTATGAGGACGCGCTGTGGCGGTATGGCTAATTGTCTCAACAGGCACAGGGATAGTTCGACAAGCTCACCGCGGATGGGTTGAGAGCCGTGTCAGGAGACTTCGCTCCAGTCGCTCCATGCTTGTTCGAGGCTCGCCTGGGTTGCGGTGTATTTCTTGCCGAGTCGTGTTATTTCGGCGACGTTCTGGCGCTCGGTTGCTGATTCGGAGGGCGGCGTCAATTTCGGCGAGCTGCGCTTCCAGATTGCCTATCAGCGCTTCGTAGTCTCTGACGACGGCTTGCTTCGCGCGCTGCCTTGCGCCTGCTGTGCGGCGTTGCTTGTTCGATTGCCTGCTGCGGGAACCGGATGCTGGTGCGGGCGTGCCTGCTTGTGTCGGCGCTACGGGCTGCCTGCCGCGAATCCACTCCTCGAAGCCTCCCTTGAACAGGCGCGCTTCGCCGTCCTCGACTATCCAGAGCTGGGTTGCGAGCCGTGAAATCAGGCGGCGGTCGTGTGAGACGAATATCAGGGTGCCGCTGTAGGTCTGGAGCGCGGCTTCTAGCGCCTCTCTGCTAGGAATGTCTAGTGGGTTGTCGGTTCGTCGAGGATGAGCATGTTCGGCTCGGTGATGAGCAGGCGCGCGAGGGCGAGGCGGCTGCGCTCGCCGCCGCTGAGCGCGGATGTGGACTTGAAGACATCATCGCCTCTGAAGAGGAAGCGAGCGAGGTAGTTTCGGGCTTCGGGAATGCGCAGGTTGCGCGCGTCTATCAGGGCATCCATGACGCTCGAGCGCTGCGGCAGGTCAATGCTGCCCTGCGAGTAGTAGCCAGGCTCGACATTGTGTCCGAGGCTTGCTCTGCCAGTGATTGGCGGCGTCTCTCCCAGCAGCGTCTTTATGAGCGTGGTCTTGCCGATGCCGTTGCTGCCGATGATTGCGGTGCGCGAGCCGCGTTCGAGTCTGCGCGTCGGCTACGGTCAGGAGTTGCACGCCATGCCCGTTTTGCTGGTATCCGACGGCGAGCTTGCTGGTTCTGATGGCAACCTGGCCGGTACGGAATGTGCTGACGCTTCCGAGGTAGATTGCGTCGTTGGTTTGTGGTTTGTCGATGCGCTCAAGGCGTTGGAGGCGAGTTGCGCGCCCACGCGCTTCTCGCGCCCGCTGTCCGGCCTTGTATCTGCTGATAAACGACTCTTCGCGCTCGATGTACTCCTGCTGTCGCTCGTACTCGATGAGCTGGCGTCGCTGCTGCTCTTCCTTGAGGACGCGGTACTTGGTGAAGTTGCCGGGGAAGGACTGGAGCTTGCCGTTGTCGATTTCCAGTATGCGGTTCGCCACCTTGTCGAGGAAGTAGCGGTCGTGTAGACGACCATGAAGCCGCCCGTGAAGCCGGATAGGAAGTCTTCGAGCCAGTCCAGCCCGTGGAAGTCGAGGTAGTTGGTCGGCTCGTCTAGGATAAGGAAGTCGGGGTCTGAGAGGAGCGCCCTGGCGAGCGCGGCGCGTGTACGCTCACCGCCGCTTGCGTCCGCCGCGGGGGTTGCACGTGTCTCTTCGGGCAGTCCCACGCCATCAAGGACGCGCTCCATGCGGTGCTCGTATTCGTAGCCGCCAAGCGCCTCGAACTCGCGCAGTAGGGCATCGTAGCGGCGCTCGGCGTCACGGCGGGCTGTGCCTTCGGCGACCTGGATGTCGAGCGCGCTTGAGGCGAGTTCGTCCTCGACCTGGCGGAGGCGGGTGAATGCCTGCATCACTTCGTCGTGGACTGTGCCGTCGGGGGCTTGATTGGGCGTCTGCGGCACGTATCCGATGCGGACGCCGCGCTGCCACGTGATGGTGCCGGCGTTGGCTTCGAGTTCGCCGGCGAGGATGCGTATGAGGGATGTTTTGCCCGCGCCGTTGGGACCGACGATGCCGATGCGGTCGCGCTCGTCGATCTGAAGGTCAACACCAGCGAAAATTTCGACTTCGCCGAAGAGGAGGGCTAGGTTGGAGGCGGTGAGGATTGGCATTTAGGCGTTAGTGCGTCCGTTGGCGTGTGATATGATTATTCATTATAGACGAAATGATCTAGATGTTGCTCGGATCATTGCTGAAGGTTTGAATACATGGCTATCAAGGGCGGTCCAGTCTGTGTCTCGGTGATAAATATGAAGGGTGGAGTTGGGAAGACGACGATTGCCGCGATGCTGGCTCGATTTGCAACATCACTGCCACCGTTTGGCTTAGGCAAGACAACAATTGATACATTTTGGTCAGTTGATATTTAGACCCACAAGCAAACCTTTCTCAGGCGCTTATGGGTCGTGGCTATGAGCAGTTCATAGATGATAAATCGCAACCTTCCATGTTGAGCTAGTCCGAGGCGGCATCAGAGTGTCCGGTATCATTGCGGCAAATCGTACTGAGTTGTGGATGACGTAGTCGTCGCCTTGCGGTGTCCCAATCTGCAGCTGATTCCTTCCAAGTTCCATTTTTCAGACAACTTGATTGGAGCGATTGGAACTGATGATAGAATCTTGGCACGTCTAATTGCTGATAATTTTCAGGACAGGGATCTTATTATCATAGATTGTCCTCCTACCGAGTCGATATTCACACGTGTTGCATATCACGCGTCTCGGTTCATACTTGTTCCGGTTAAACCAGAATTTTTTGCTACCATTGGCTTCCCTTTACTTAACGACTCCCTTAGTGAGTTCAAGAGGAAAAACCCTAATCATGATATTGAAGTGATTGGTATTGTCATCAACGATACATTCGATTATCAGGCTGATGACTATACGCCTGAGAAAAGCAGGGCGCTGAAAGAAATAAAAAAAGAGGCTGAATGTAGTGGCTGGTACATATTTGAAAATGGACTAGAATACTCACGCGGTTTCCCCAAAATAATGCGGGGTGATTATGATTGGCCAGGGGATGCCCCTAGAATAGTAAGCGATTTTGCCGAAGAGTTTATCGAAATAATGTGGGACATCGTGGAACCCGAGTTTATAGAATGACAAACCGAAAGATAGAAACCATCCTTCGTCCGATAGTCCAAGAGCACGGTTTAGGCAGCGTACTTGAAGCGTTGGGCAAGATTGCTTCTGAAGACAAAGCGCAATCTGCGCCGCCGCACGCGGTTCAACGCGAGAGGAAAAGCCAGCAAAATGCAATAAGAGCAAGCGCAGCAAAAAGCCCACCGCGACCGAGTATGTCGCCAAGATGGACTTGCCAGAGAAGCGCGAGAAATGGTGAAAGGCAACAGGACAGATGCGGTTTTGATTGCGGGGAAGGACGTTTTCCTAACTACCTTTGGGACATCAGGAACTTCTGCCAATTTATGGCATTGATTGTGCCGGCTGTCTCATAGACTCGCGGTTGTGCAAGCGTGAATCCAATCCCAAGAGTGTTCAAGGTTCATAGCTACAGAATATCGGACGCTAGAGAAGCAGCAAAGAATACTGGATGATGGCATGTTCTCAGGTCAGTTCACGGCTTTCTTGTCTCCTCTATCGCAGATCGCGATTCGGCGGAAGTAAATGGCAGGGGCAAGCCGCGCATCAAGAATTGCCAAGTAGTCGCCGAGGGCGTCGGTTTCTTCTCAGGCTTGCTTTTGAAGTGCTCCTTATTCCAGGGCGCACCATTTCACTGCCTCTTTGCTTAGCTTTTGATCCGTCTCTCGTTCTTTCATTTCTCTATTCTACACTCCATGTCAGGGTGCGCGCCTCTCCAAGAATGAGGCGGACGTCTTAGGGGCATTCGGTACTTGCGGCCCAGTAGATTGTCGCGACGCAACGGCTCCGTGCCGCTGATGAAACGGATAAGCGTACCAGCTAGCCAGACCGCTAAGGAGGGTAGCTGTGAAAGGCCGTCTGTTGTTCCACATTCTTTTTTGCTCTTCTGCTTGTCATGCAGTGTAGTGAGCGGTGGCATGTGTTGGAGGCGGGCGATTGTGGTGTCTCCTGGCTTTCGTCGAAGGCAGGTCCTATGGTCGGGTCGTAGTGGTGGGGGCCGACTTTGTTCTTCCCAGCTCGTCACCGAGCAGGTCCGGGATGCCCATGCGGTCATTGACTCATCAGTCCAGCATTGCATGAGGCCGCT